TTCGTACCAGGAGCAAGTGCGATACTTACCCATACGGTTGGTACCAAGAGTAAATACGTTACTTACTCATATGGTTGGTACATAGAGTACGTACGTTACTCGTATAGTTGGAGTCAAGAGAAAAGGCGCTCCCACATGATTGGTATTAAGAGTAAGTGCGTTACATACCAGTATGGTTTGTATCAAGATTACGTGTGGTACATACGCATGTGATTGGTATTAAGAGTAGGAGCGGTATGTACTTATATGGTTGGTATCAAGAGTAAGTGTGTAACTTACCTATATGGTCAACATGAAGAGCAAGTGCGGTACGTACCTATATGGTTGGTACCAAGAGTAAGTGCGCTACTTACCCATATGGTTAGCACCAAGACTAAGAGCGCTAACTACCCATATGGTTCGTATCAAGAGTAAGTGACTTATTTACCCATATGGTAGTTACCAAGAGTAACTGCGTAACTTAACCATATGGTTGGTACCAAGAGTAAATGCGTTTTTTACTCATATGGTTGTACCTTAGAGTACGTGCGTTACTTACCCATATGGTTGGTACCACGAGAAAATGCGTTACTTACCTATACGGTTGGTACCAAGAGTAAGTGCGTTACTTACTCATATGGTTGGTACCTAGTGTACGTGCGTTATTCGTATAGTTGGAATCAAGAGAAAATGCGCTCCCATATGATTGGTATCAAGAGTAAGTGCATTACCTACATGTATGGTTTGTATCAAGATTAAGTGCGGTACGTACGCATGTGATTGGTATTAAGAGTAGGAGCGGTATGTACTCATATGGTTGGTCTCAAGAGTGAGTGTGTAACTTACCCATATGGTCAATATCAAGAGCAAGTGTGGTACGTACTGATATGGTTGGTACCAAGAGTAAGTGCGCTACTTACGCATCTGGTTAGCACTAAGACTAAGAGCGCTAACTACCCATATGGTTGGTATCTGCGGAGATAACTACTGCAACGGGAGCTGGACTACGGGCTAGGCACGGGTGCTCGTGTGATCTCTGCGTTCACTTGTTCCTTAGTCGTTTCCAAGTGCTCACACTACTTGCTAGTTCACAGGGAGAATTGGCAAGAGTTTCACTAGGAAAGGTTGACAACAATGGTACAATGAAGTTGGCAAGACTAGACTACATCAGAGCTAGCATGCAAGCAAGTCTACTACCAGCGCAGCACGGTCGACCGCGTGCCAGCACGACTTGGTCGACCGCGCTCCAGCAGTGCAGAGGCGCGGCTTGCCAGTGCTGCAAGTCGACGGCGTGCCAACATCGCAGGTTGACGGCGTGCCAACGCTGCTCCCGCAGGACAGCAGCGCACCCGCTTCGCAGGTGCTCGCAGATGATTGGCGTGTAGTGCCTCGTCACCTGCACAGCGCACACACCAAGTCAACTTCGTGCTGACGACTGATTCTGATCAGCCACGTCGACCTCGGGATACCACCACCGAGATCGTCCTCGCCAACATCGCCTGAGCGACCGTCGCGTGCCTTCGCAGAACCTCGTCACTCATATAACATGGTCGACCGGGCAACCACATCGACCAGCTGCTCCTGTATGTGCCGGTCGACCTCCCAAGTCGACGGCCACCTCCAGTCGACCTCCCCAGGTCGACCACTATGTTCGGTCGACCACCAGGTCGACTTCACGCCTGGTCGACCAGCCACCAAGTCGACCAGCAGGCCTGGTCGACATACCAAGTCGACCAGAAGGCCTGGTCGACTTACCAGGTCGACCAGAAGGCTTGGTCGACCAACCAGGTCGACCAGAAGGCCTGGTCGACTTACCAGGTCGACCAGAAGGCTTGGTCGACCAACCACGTCGACAGAAGGCCTGGTCGACTTACCAGGTCGACCAGAAGGCTTGGTCGACCAACCAGGTCGACCAGAAGGCCTGGTCGACTTACCAGGTCGACCAGAAGGCTTGGTCGACCAACCAGGTCGACCAGAAGGCCTGGTCGACTTACCAGGTCGACCAGAAGGCTTGGTCGACCAACCAGGTCGACCAGAAGGCCTGGTCGACCAACCAGGTCGACCAGAAGTTCTGTCAGCCGACCACCCAAGTCGGCTACCCCAAGTTGGCGTCACCAAGTCGACGCCCTCCGCAGGTCGACTTCCCAGGTCGACCTTCCTGAAGTCGGCGCCATCCTGAAGTCGGCGCCCATGCAGTGGCACCCGTGCAGGTCGACTTCCTCGTCGACCAGCTCGCCCACTGCTGCAGGTCGGCTGCACCCCTACACCCGACCACGAAGTCGGCTCCGCCCAAGCGAGGATGGGGCCAACACACAACTCCCGTTGACAGTATCAAGAGTAAGTGACTGATTTACCCATATGGTAGTTACCAAGAGTAACTGCGTAACTTAACCATATGGTTGGAGCTTAGAGTACGTGCGTTACTTACCCATATGGTTGGTACCACGAGCAAATGCGTTACTTAACCATATGGTTGGTACTGAGAATAAGTGTGTTATTTACTCATATGGTTGGTACCAAGAGTAAGTGCGACACTTACCCATATGGTTGGTACCAAGAGCAAGTGCGTTACTTACCCATATGGTTGGTATCAAGTGCGTAACTTACCCGTATAGTTGGTACCGAGGTTAAGTGCGTTATTTACTTATATGGTTGGTATCAAGAGAAAGTGCGCTACTTACCTATATGGTTGGTACCAAGAGTAAGTGCGTTACTTATTCATATGGTTGGTATAAAGACTAAGTGCGAGACATACTCATATGGTTGGTATCAAGAGTACGTGCGTAACTTCCTCATATGGTTGGTACCAAGAGTGAGTACGCTACTTGCGCATATGGTTAGCACCAAGAGTAAGTGCGCTAACTACCCATATGGTTGGTTTCCAGACTAAGTGACTTATTTACCCATATGATTTGTCCCAAGAATAAGTGCGTCACTTACTCATATTTGTTGGTATAAAAAAAATGTGTGTTACTTACCCATATGGTTGGGACTAAAGTCAGTGCGTTACTTACTCATATGGTTGGTATCAAGACTAGATGTGTTACTTCCTCATATGGTTGGTAGCAAGTGTAAGTGCGCTACTTACCCAAATGGTCGGTATTAATAGAAAAAGCGGTACGTACTTATATGGTTGGTATTAAGAATAACTGTGCTAATTACACATATGGTTGGTACCAAGAGTAAGTGCGTTACTTATTTATATAGATGGTACCTAGAGTACGTGCGTTACTTCCCATATAGTTGGTATCATGAGTAAGTGCGCTACTTTCCCATATGATTGGTACCAAAAGTAAGTGCGCTACTTACCCATTTGGTCGGTATTTAGAGTAAGTGCGGTACGTTCCCATATGGTTGGCATCAAGAGTAAGTGCTCTACTTACCCATATGATTGGTACCAAGAGTAAGTACATGACATACCCGTATGATTGGTATCAAGATTAACTGCGGTACTTACTAAGACTAGGTAAGAGTAAATGCGGTAAGTACTCATACGGTTGGTATCAAGAGTAAATGCAGTACGTACTCATATGGTTGGTACCAAGAGTAAGTGCGCTATTTACCTATATGGTCGGTATCAAGAGTAAGTGTGTTATTTACCCATATGGTAGTTACCATACTGCGTAACTACCAAGCACAAGTGCGTTTCTTACCCATATGGTTGGTACTAAGAGTAAGTGCGTTACTTACCTATGTGGTTGGTACCTAAAGTAAATGCGTTACATACTCATATGGTATGTATCAAGTGCATATCTTGCCCATATGGTTGGTACCAATGTTAAGTGCGTTACTTACCCATATGGTTGTAGTAAGAGTAAGAGAATTACTTTCTCATATGGTTGGTATCGAAGGTAAGCGCGTTAGTTACCCATATGTTGGTATCAAATGTAAGTGCGTTACTTACCCATATGGTTGGTACCAAGAGTACGTGCGTTACTTGCTCATATCGTTGGTATCAAGATTAAGTGCTTTACTTACTCATATGGTTGGTGTAAATACGTTGCTTACCCATATCTCTGGTACCAAGAGTAACTGAGTTTTTTCCCCTTATAGTTGGTACTAAGAGTAAGTGCGTTATTTACCCATATGGTTGGTATGAAGATTTGGTGTGATACTTACCCATAAGATTGGTACCAAGTGTAAGTTTTTTACTTATTATATGCTTGATACTAGGAGTAAGTGTGTTACTTACCTGTATGGTTGGTATCAAGAGTAAGTGCGTTACTTACCCATATGCTTGGTACTAAGAGTAAGTTCGTTACTTACCCATATGGTTGGTACCAGGAGTAAGTGCGTTACTTACCCATATGGTTGGTATAAAGAGTACGTGCGTTACTTGCATCTATGGTTAGTATCAATAGTATATGTGTTACTTCTATTGTTGGTATCAAGAGTAAGTGTGCTTCTTACCCACATAGTTGGTACTAAGAGTAAGTGCGTTACTTACCCAAATGGTCGGTATTAAGCGTAAGTGCGGTACGTACTCATATGGTTGGTATCAAAAGTAAGTGCGTTACTTACAAATTTAGTTGGTACCAAGAGCAAGTGCGTTACTTACCCATATGGTTGGTACCTATATGGTCGGCATGCACACAACACACAGCGCGCCGGTCACCGCACCAGCCATGAAAGAGGGCATGACACCTAGTCCTGCACATCATCGTCATCGTCACCAACGTCGGCCAGTCGCACTTGGCCGATTGCGTTGGAGCACTAGTTGAAGGTCGGATAGTGCAGCGCCTTTTTCAGGAAGTTGGTCGGCTGCTCGGTGGTTGGGATGTACTTCAGCATGAACTTTCAGCGCTTCACCATGTGCTGCAGCCAAGCATACCGCCGCTCCATGTGCTTGAGATTGCCCTGCAGCCCCAAGCCCTCAGCGACGGTGATGGCCAACTTGTTGTCCACACAAAGGATCGTCGGCGTCCCCGCGTCCAACTGTCAGAACTCTGCAAGGAGGTAGCGAAGGCGGCGTCCCTCCTTGCCGGCCTCGGTGGCCGCCACGTACTCCGACTCGGTCGACGTTAGTGTCGCGCACTCGACCAGGAGACTGCGGCCCCTCCGTAGACGAACATGTAGCCGCCCGTGCTCGTCCGGTTCTGCTTGTCGCCGGCGTCGTCGGCGTCCACGTAGCCGACCAGCTCCAGCGTCTCTGGTCCACCGCCGAACTCCAGGGCGGTGTCACGAGTGTTGGCGAGGTAGGCGAGGCAGCGGTCGACCTCGCGCCAGTGCTGGTCGCTCCTCACCGTGAGGCCGCTCCCCAGCTTGCTGCAGGCAAAGGCGATGTCCGGCCTCGTCGTCGTCGCTGCGAACTGCAGCGAGCCGACCTTCTGCCGGTACTCCTCCTCCTCGCGCTCCTGCGCCTTCTCGTTGTCGAAGGTGAGCTCGGCGTATGCATCGAGAGAGATCGGCGTCTTCGGGGTGCGCCCAGTCTGCTCCTACGCAGCTTGTCGGCATAGTGCTGCTGGTTCTACCACAGCTTCCTTGCCGGCCTGTCGCGCACGATCTCTAGCCCGAGGTACTTCACCACCCGCGAGATCTCGCGCAACTTGAAGGCGGCCTCCAGCAGCTCCTTCAGCTCCTTCAGCATCGCAGTGCTGCTGCTTGCGGCGAGCAGATCGTCGACGTAGACCAGCACCCAGCAGGCCACTCCGTCGTCGCCGACCTTGAAGTACAACGCCTCGTCGACCTGGCTCTTCTTCCAGCCAGCCCTCATCAGCACAACATCGAGTGCTCGGTACCACAGTAGCGGCGACTGCTTCAGCCCATAGAGGCTCTTCAGCAGCTTGCACACCCGGCCGGTCCCGTCGTTGTAGTAGTCCGGCTACACCTTGTCGAGCTTGCTCTGCAGGAAAGCGTTCTTCATGTCGAGCTGCATCAGGTTGAGGTCGAGGACGGCGACGATGCTGAGGAAGATCCTCAGCGTGATGTAGCTGCTCACCGGCGCACACGTCTCGCCGTAGTCGGCGCCATACACCTGCGTGAAGCCCTTCACAACCAGCCTCGCCTTTTCACCGGACGACCGTGTCGTCGACTTAGTACTTGGTCATCAGGACCCACCGGTTCTTCATGATGTTTACCCTGCGTAGGCGTTCGACCAGCTCCCAGGTGCCCATGCCGATGAGACTGCGGATCTCCTCGTCCATGGCGGCCTTCACCGCCTTGCCCTTCCAGCTCGCCAACGCCTCCTTCACCGTCATCGTACCGATGTCCCAGCGGTGCTCAGGGTCGGCGTGCATGTCGGGGTCGAGCTCCGGCAGGTCGACGTCCTTCTTGGCGTCGTCGTACAGCAGGTCATCTTCGGGGTCGTCGTACACAATGGTGAAGGCATCTGGTGGGAGGCAGACGTGGTAGGTGAGTTGCTCAGGAGGCCCTCGAATTTGACTGAACGCCCAAGTCCAGGCTGGTCCACCTGAACCTTCACCACATCGCTGTCGGTGGACTGCTCTGACTGCTCCCTTTCACCGCCACTGGCTTCGCTGTTTCCGACGTCCTGCTGCACCAAAGTCGGCGTACCTGCCGACTTCTCCCCTGTCGTCGACTCCCCTGTCGACTGCCCGGTCGTTGACCACTCCTAGGCCGATTTCACAGCTGGCTGCTCCCCTGTCAGCGGCGCCCTTGGCCGGCGCCACACGCGACGCCCCACTGTTCCCCTCATCGCCGGAGGACGACATTGGCGTCGGCGCATACAGGTCGGCTACAAGAGGTGGAGTGTCAGGGGTAGGGGAAGGGGAAAAAACTTCTTTGACATCCTCATCAGCAAGCTCACCGCCCTCGGCAAGCAAAGGGAGTGTCGTCGTGGAGATGTCCGTCGGCGGGTTGACTTGCGCATGCCCGACGCCAGCCCGTGCTCCGACTTCCTCATATCCAGCGACATGATTTCGTAGAACACCACTCCCAACATAATACAACCTTGTTGTCGGTAAGGTCGACGACCTGCTCTCCTCCAACACTCCGATGTGAAGGCCCCACCTGGCCTTCAGCGCCAGCATTACGCCGCGCTGCTGCTCGGGGACCAGAAACTGCGCCATGCAGCACCAAACGCGGGCAAGCATTAAGTCCGGATTCTTGTCGGTCAGCATATGGTGCGGCGTCGTTCCTGGCGGCAGCGTCGACCGCTCCAAGCAGTTGCGCACCCAGACGGCCTGCCGCAGAGCGTGGTGCTACACGCGCGAGTGCAGCAGCATCGCTCGCACTGACTCCACCACCGTCTGCATCTCCTGTTCCGCCATGCCGTTCTGCACCGGCGTGTAGGGGCAGGTCAAATCATGGACGATTCCCTTGCCGTCCACGAAGGTGGGTATTCTTTCCCGAGGAACTCCCCTTCACGGTCAGAACACAGCATCAACACCAACTTCTTCGTCTGCCGCTCAGCCACCACCAGCCACTTCTCAAACTCCCGCAGTATGTCGGACTTCTTGGCGACCGTCCTTATTCACATAGCGGCTTTTGCGGTCCTTCAGCAGCAAGAAGTACAGGCTGCCGTCCTTGGCGGCCTCCCAAAACGGCCCGCACAAGTCGATGTGCACGACAGCCAGGGCGTCGTCGGAGTCCGAGCCCTTGTCGGGGAAGGTGTGCCGTGCCAGCTTCTTGCTAATGCACGAGACACACGGGGAGTCGGTGGCGACTGATGGCTGGATGGCCAGGCCGGTGGCGACCTCGTGCTTCGCCGAGCTCCGAATTGTGTCGATGCCGACAATTGCCCGTAGGGCCACCACCGCAGTCGGCGTCGGTGCCGACTTCACCGAGCTCGCTGAGCATGGACGAAGGTCGGTGCAGAGGACCCGGCTGGTATACCTCGCCCGACCGAGCACGTCCCCCGTCATCGTGACGAGCAGCACGTCGCCATCAGCCTGCAGCTTCACACCGCTCTCTTGCAGCTGACCGGCTGACAACAGGTTCACCTGCACGCCCAGGAAGTAGAGTACGTCGGGGACGTAGAGTACCTAGAGTACGCCCAAGACGTAGAGTACCTGCTTCCCGGCCTTCCCTTGCACGGCAACGGTTCCACGGCCTTCGACGGTCTGCAGAGCCCCATTGAAGTCGCGCACGTGCTTGACGTCGCCGCTCGGCCCCTAGTCGACAAAGGCCTCCTTCGTTCTCATCAGGTGGTGCGAGCAGCTACTGTCAAGCAAGACCACTGCCGGGTTCGCCTGCACGGTTGCTGCCACTGCCTGGAAATCCTTGCCGGCCTCCGGCGCCAACGAGACGGTCGGCTCCACGACGCCGACCAGCGAGCACGGTTGCAGTAGTCGGTCGCCATCTTCTGCTCGCCCATCCGCAGATGCGTCATCTGCTCCTTGAGATGGCCAATGTATAGGTCGTCCATGACCTGGTATGTTGACTCGATGAAGTGCCACACCCGATGGCCGGCGTTCAGGTAGTCCCTGCACGACTTTAAAGCGATCCGGCGTGAACTTAAAGTAGCCGTAACTCGGCGCTATTCCGCCCGTAGTTACGTGGGTCGCCAATCACGGCATCACACTGCTCCGACGTTCTCCGACATCGCCCTGCAAGGAGCCCGCAGCCACCGACGACTGCAGCCCTCGCGCCTGAACGCCGCCGACTTCATCGGCGTGTATCACCCCTCGCTGCCTCAACGTGCCACCCGCATTGCAGCCAACTTGGTCACCGGCGTTGACGCCCACGTCGACGCCGCCCTCGTTGTTCACCGGTCGAAGAGTGGCCGGTCGAGAAGGGTGCTCCGCTGCCCATACGGCGTAGATGCCGGCCTTGACGGCTGCCAAGGGGAGGTTAGGCCCATTCTCGCCATCCTGGTGGCGTCTCTTCGTATCCTCCAGCCGTGCCTCTAGGGTGTCCACCACCCCCGTGTCACCTATGCCCACCATGGTGACTAACGCGCAGCTGCCGGCATACGAACACGATAGGTATGTGAAGGTAGGTTTCCTAGACAGAAGGTAAAATCGCGGTGCTGTCCACGCTCACCGCACCATGCGGAGATAACTCTATAGACAAGAGCTCAGACTACGGGCAAGGCAGGGGGTATGAGTGATCGTAGCGTTCGTTCCTTAGTCGTTTGCTTGTGTTCACTCTACGTGCACATTCACGGGGGAATTCGGCAAGAGTTTTACTAGCAAAGGTTCAGAACAATGGTTGACAATTGCAAAGCAACACTGACTAGATCAGGAGCTAGCATGCAAGCAGGTCGACTGCCAGTGCAGCAATGTCGACCGCGTTCTAGCACTACAAGGTCGACCGCGCTCCAGCAGAGCAAAGTCGCGGTCTGCCAGCGCTGCAAGTCGATGGCGCACCAACGCTGCAGCAAGGCGGCTGCACAGCGTTGCACCCGCAGGTTTGTCAGCGCACCTGCTTCGCAGGTGCTCGCAGCTGATTGGCGTGCTGTGCTTCGTCACCTGCACAGCACAGAAACCAAGTCGACCACGAGCCCACGTCTGCACCTGATCCTCCAGGTCAACCTCAGGATACCACCACCGGGGTCAGCTTCCCCAAAAACCACCTGGGCGACGATCGCGCACCTCTGCTGATCCTCGTCGCACGGTAACCTGGTCGACCGGGCAACCACCAAGCCGGCGCCGACTTGTGTGGCCGGTGTCGACCAGCTGCTGTACGTGCTCGTTGACCACCCAAGTCGTCGCCCACGTTTCGGTCGCCGGCTGCACCAAGTCGGCGTCCCCAAAGTCGGCGCCAGGAAGTTGACACCTCCGAGGTCGACCTCGCCAGATCGACCACCCGCACCTCGGCGCCTTCCAGCTTGGCCTCCCATCATCGTCGACGCCAGCGCCTTCCTTCATCGACCACGTCCGCCGACCTCCCATCGTCGGCGGCTACGCAGTTGCCCCGTGCAGGTCGTCCATCCCGGGCGACCAGCCCGCCAAGTCGGCGTCGCCCACTGCAGCAGGTTGGCTGCAAAACCCTGCACATCCGACCACGAAGTTGGCTCCGCCCAAGCGAGGACGGGGCCAAAAACAACTCCTGTTGACATTATCTACTAATATGGTAGTTACCAAGAGTAACCGCGTAACTTACCCATATGGTTGGTAACAAGGTTAAATGCGTTACTTATCCATATGGTTGGTACCAAGAGTAGGTGTTGTACTTACTTATACGGTAAGTATCAAGAGTAAGTGCGTTTCTTTCCCATGTGGTTGGTACCAAGAGTAAGTGCGTTACTTACCTATATGGTTGGTACTAAGAGTAAGTGCGTTACTTATCTATACATATCGTTGGTACAAAGAGTAGGTGTTGTACTTACTTATATGGTAAGTATCAAGAGTAAGTGCGTTTCTTTCCCATGTGGTTGGTACCAAGAGTAAGTGCGTTACTTATCTATACATATCGTTGGTACAAAGAGTAAGTGCGTTATTTGCGAAGAGTCACTCTACACCAAGACTTGGACTACGGGGGAAGGTACGGGTCCTAGAGTGATCATAACGTTTGTTGTGTTCACGGGGCAAAACGACAAGAGTTTCACAAGCAAAAGAATTACACAAAATGATAGAAACAATAATGTCAAATTTGGCTACATCAAAAGCAAGTCTGCCTGGCACACAGGCAGGTCAACCTCCAGCACAGCAATGTAGACCATCTGCCAGCACTGCAAGTCCGCACCGCTCCAGCGCTGCAGAAAGGCATCTTGCCAACGTAGTAAGTCTACAGCGTGCCAACGCTGCAGCAAGATGTCCAGCATTGCACCCGCAGGTGACAGCATTTCGCAGGTGCTTGTAGTCGGTAGGCGCGACATGCACCGTCACGTGCACAGCGCAGATGCCTGGTCGGCCACGTGCCGTTGGCTGTGCCTGATGAGCCACGTTGAACTCGGTCAGAGAGTCTGGCTGCTTTGTGTAAGGAGAAGGAGCAGGCAGTAAGGAGTCTGGCTGTAACTGTCTCTGAGACGGGTCAGGCGGTGGATACAGTAAGGGAGGAGTAAGGCCAGTGGAAGACGGAAGACTAAGAACCTGACGAAGCACTAGGTCAGGTGGCAGTAAGGACGACTGCGGCGGCGGTAAGAAAAGCGGATGCTGCGGCGCATCACCCACAATCCCAGCAGCTCCTCTAGCTCCAGTACCTCCAGCACCAGTAGCGCCAGGACCTCCAGCTCCAGTACCTCTAGCTCCAGTACCTCTAGGACCTCCAACTCCAGTACCTCCAGCTCCAGTACCTCTAGCTCCAGTACCTCCAGCGCCAGTACCTCTAGCTCCAATACCTCCAGTACCTCCAGCGCCAACGCCCCCAGCTCCAGCGCCTCCAGCTCCAGCGCCTCCAACTCCAGCGCCTCCAGCTCTAGGGTCCACAGTGTTAGTGCCTCCAGCGCCAGTGCCTCTAGCGGCAGTGCCTCCAGCCCCAGCAGCGCCACTCCGAAGGTGCGCCGAGCAAACCACTCGCGAAGCTGCCGTGGTGAGAGAGGCTCCCGCTGACTAGACCGCTGCGGCGAGGCACCCGTAGGACCTCCAGCAGACGCAGCACCCCTAGGCTCAGCACCCCCAGACCCAGGACCCTCAGGCTCGGCACCCCTAGGCTCAGCACCCCCAGACTCAGCACCCTCAGGCTCAGCACCCCCAAGCTCCACACCCGTAGGCTTAGCACCCCTAGGCTCTGTACCCTCAGGCTCAGCACCCCCAGGCTCAGCACCACCAGCAGCACCACCCCTAGCAGCACCAGAGTCGACAACAACCGGCTGCACAGGCGGCGAAGACGGTCGAGGTGGAAAACCCGGAGGGGTCTCCAAGCGTGGTGAGCGGCGGGGGGCCGCCGTGTCTTCAGCAGCAACGTCACCCCCCTCAGGTGGGCCAGAGGTGTAATTTGAAGTGACCTCGAAAGGCTTAGCCAAGGGGAGTGGGCATACCTGAGACACACCTGAAGGAGCAGGACCCTGAGGGGGGAGGGGGTCTACCGGAGGGGGACCTGGAGCGAGGAAGAGCGGCAGGGGGGGGGGGGGGGGGGAAGGGGCAGTGCGGTAGGGGAAGAAACGATAAAAGGGAACTGACTCATCAAACATGACGTCATGAGAGGACAGAACATGGCACGTGGTGGGGTGGTAAAACTGCCAGCCAGGCGCGTCAGGGGGAAAGCCAAGGAAGACGGAGGGAAAGGCGCGAGAGGAGAGCTTGTCCGCGGTGGTATCGCGGACAAAGGCACAAGAGCCCCAGACCCGGAACACCGACGCATCGCCAACCTTCCCCATCCAACGCAGTGTAGGCGAGGTCTCCGGCAAGGAGACACGGGGCCAGAGGTTGAGCTGATGCGCAGCGTACCGGACCGCAAACGGCCACGGAAAATGGGGAGCATCCATGACTAAGCCAATGCGGCGCTCAGTAACCCCATTCTGCTGCGGGGAGGCCGGAAGCGTGAACGACTGGAGGATGCCCTCCCCACGACAAAAGTCCTGTAGGAGGTGGGAGGAGAACTCACCACCTCTGTCAGAGTGCAGATGCAGGACAGGAAGGTCCTGGCGGAACCGCTCGCGGAGCTGGAGACGGACAGCGCGGATCCAAGGGAGAAAGACAGAAGGGACCTCCCCCTTGCTGCACAAGGGGAAGACCGTGGTGTAACACGAGTAGTCGTCAACAACCAGCAGAAAGTATCGCTCGCGGTCCTGTCCATTGACGAGGGCTGGGCCCCACACATCCATATGGAGAGTCAGCAGGGGAGCAGTCGTCGGGGGAAACGAGGAGGAGTGAGGAGCGGCGCGCTGCCGCCCCTCAACGCAAGGAAGGCAGGGTGGCACAGGCGAGGGCGGGAGGGAAGGCAGAGACCTGGGAAGACCAGAGACAAGGAGGCGGGAGTGCATGCCACGGAGGCGTGGCAGGGAGGGATGACCAGGGCGGTGGTGCTAAAGGAGAGTGTGGTGCGTGAGGAGGCGACACGAACAGGGGGCTGCTACCTGACCTGACGCGAACACCTGACCAGACACAGCCACCTGAGCAGGCTCAGTAGTCAGTGTGTACAGGCTCGACTGAGGCCGACGGGTGAACGTGGCCAGGTGACGGCCCATCCGTGCACACGTGCAGATCGACACACGCTGACCCCCAGGAGTGGTGGTAGTGACCATCTCATCTTGGAGGGCAGTGGTACTCATCAAGTTCGTAGAGAACGAGGGGAGGTGAAGACCGGAAAATGAGCCACACGGAACCGCCGGACACGGGAGAATAGTGGAGGAACGTGCAAGAACTGGGCCCCCTGAGGGGTCAGCCAGAGAGACTGCAACAGGTGCAGGGAGTGGTGTGACTGTAGTACTGTCGCAAAATAAGCAGCGGGAAGCACCTGAGTCAAGCGTGAAGGTGTGCAAGGCCTCAGCAGGCGCAGTACCAGAGAGAGCAGGCGCACTAGCACCTAGAGCAGCAGCCTCTATACCTGGGTCGGGCGGCACACACAGGTAACAGTCACCCTCAGCACTAACAGTCAAAGCATACATGGCAGCAAGAATAGCATCATAGTCAAGAGCAAAGATATCCACATCGGTCCTAAGCAGCTCTCGCCAGCGGGGGAGTTCAGCCTCGTCGCCAAACTCTGCGCGCCAGGCGTCGTCAGGACGGCAGAAGCAGCGGTACTGAGTGTGACCAACCTTCCCGCATGCCTGACCAGCCCGATCACATGTGCGAATGACGTACGGGCAGCGAACACTACCCCCAGACGCCCCACGCTGAGCAAACCACTCACGAAGCTGAGGGTCTCATGGGGACGCTGCTGCTGCTGCCTCTGGCCACCACCAGAACCTCCCCTCTGGACCGCTCCACCCCGACCGCCACCACTGCCGCCGCCACCACTCCCACTGCTGCCACCACCGCCGCCACCACTCCCACCGCTACCACCACCGCCGCCACCGACGCCTCAACTCCCACCACCACTTCCACCACCACCACCGCCACCACCACCACCACCACCACCACCGCCACCACCACCGCCTCCACTGCCGCCACCCCCACCACTCTTGCCTCCCTTGCCCTTGCCGCTGTGGCGCCTCCCACTAGGAGCAGAAGCAGCACCAAGGAAGTCAACAGCAGCAGCAGAAGCGACAGAGGGGGCAAGGGGGGAGGGGGAACACCCCTCAAAGAAGGGAGTGCGAGGAGTGCCATGAGAAGGTGTATGATGAGGTCGTCGACTGTGGACAAGGCCGACAGCTCAGGAAAGAGGTAGGGCAGTATGAGTCGGCCTAGAGCAGCAGTGGCAGGGGAGGAGTGCACGCGTTTGGCTAACGGCAGGTGGTTGCGAACGGCGAGGCGAGCAGTAGCGTCACGGGTAAGCCACTGTGAGCGAGTCGCACTGTCAGCTGTCTCGGGGGGGCCGAGAGAGCTCCTAGACGTGTGGTCAAATAAGGAGACACTGTCCTTAGACTCGCTCAGTAGGTACAGCTGTAAGTCGTCTAGCCAGGTCTCAAACTGGATCGGACGGCCCTCAGAATCGAAGGTGAGAACATAGAGGCCATAACGGGCAGAGCAGGGTGGCGCACAACCAGCAGGGCAACACGCAGGCAAGGCAGGGCGGCGCGCAGGAAGCAGGGAGGCACGCAAGTCTGTTCGGGGCGACGCGCGGGCACTAGGGAGGCGCGCAAGCCAGGGCGGGGCGGCGCGCGGCCGGGGAAGGGCGGCGTGCGGCCAGGGCAGGGTGGTGCGCTGCCAGCAGGGCGGCACGCGGACACGGGGGGAAACGGGCAGATCAAGGCGGCGCACGGGCCCTAGGATGATGCGACGGGCAGGGCAGGGCGTGCGCGGGCGGCGCGACGCAGGGCAGGGCGTGCGCGGGGCGGCGCGACGCAGGGCAGGGCGTGCGCGGGGCGGCGCAACGCAGGGAAGGGCAAGGTAGGGCAACGCGACTAGTGGGGCAGCGCGACGGGCAGGGTACTCTTCGGTGGGCCCTAAAAAAACGGTCGTGGAATAGGACCTGCTCTGAAACCATGTCAAAATACTGAACGAGAATGATGGCATTGAGAACAAGATGAATACAAGTACTAGCCCTAATTGGGTTGTACCCTTTAAGGGTTACCCCACTATAGCCTACGCAACATAACCATTATCATGTTTTGACACCTACTGTTACCGTTAGACTGGTACATTAGCCCATCGTTCCATGTCAGCCTGCTCCACCCGTACATCCCCACCACAAGCCAACTGCCACGCAATCGCCCACCGTCAATGACTCGACCTGCATCGGAGCCGATCGTCGACCCCGAAAAAAAACTAAGCCATCGGATTCGCTACCCCGCAGGAATCAGGAGGATCGAGTTCCTCGTTCGCTGGAAGGACCGCATCCCGACCAAATACAGCTAGGTGCCCCTGGCCAACATCGAAAACCACCCTGCCCTGCAAGTGTACCTGAGGAGCTGGGATTTTCGTGGTATACATGCACTCGCGTAGCAGAGAAGGTTTTTTCAGGGGGTGGGTAGTGTAAGGATTTTTCCACCATTCTTTACGGCGTGCTTCAATACCGCGTACAGCAGCAGCCGTTGTTCGCCCGTTACTGCTAACGGGGCTTCGCCAACCTTCGCGTGCATTATTCACCAAACCATGCACTGTTGGCCCGGCCGTGTCAGCCTACGCTTCGGGACTAGCCCGAACCTTGATGCCAGCATCGCACTAGGTAGCTTGCACGCACCGCGTAACCACTTGCATGTTTCGTATAGGTATTTTCCCATGCCTTCGCTCATAATTTGTACTCGGTTGACGCCCGAGTGCAATTTTCTCGATTTAGATCATTGCACCTGTAACAAAAATATAGGGTATATGAAAAACAATTGAAGGACGTTACGAAACACGTTCCAATTCGTTTTGAATGGTTCATCCTGGTGCGCAATGTGGTAAGAGCCGAAAACCGCGCCTAAACGTAATTGACCGTATTCAACCACGTCCGCTTCTGAGCCTTTTTTCGACCACCACCGCAAACTTGAACGCGTTCATCCAAGGGATCACTCTCCGCAACTCCCGCACTTGTCGCAACTCTCTACTCGAGCTGGGTACTGATACTCGAGGCAGAAGCTTGTTTGCGCTGCGGCCAGCCAGAGTTTGAAGCACGCCTTTGTGCATTGGGATTGGCCAACTTAACGCGTTCACTAGCCGCACGCTCGCGCCTCCCGAACGGCTTTCCTCCCGTCATCGCCGCTCCCCTCGTCCACTCATTCGCGTTCCTCCCCCTTGTGCCCACCATGACGACACTCGCCACACCCTTGGTCGACCTTCTCGCTGCCGCAACACCATCATCATCTAGTCCTAAAGTCCACCGAATGCGCGTTTCCGGGCCTCGGCGCAGTGCCGATCCCCTTGAGCTTCCTCTCCTCCCCTCACCCCCTCCCGTCCTCCTCTCCTCCCCCTCACCCCCACCCCTCCTCTCCTCCTATCCTTCTTCCGTGACGAAACTCGTTACATGATCCACGAGCCAATTTCGAGGAATAATAATTCATCATGTGCGATTGACCACTCGCTCTGAATATAAATCGACGCCCGCTCCCGAGGGCTCAATCACATTCTCCCACCGCTCCTCGCTCATTGCGCGCCTTCGTCTCCTCCCTTCTCAGTGGCACTTTCTTAATCGCACCTTTTCAATCGCATCTTCTCAGTCGCACCTTTTCAATCGCATCTTCTCGGTCGCACCTTGAGTGGCATCGTCTCAGTGGCACCTTCTCAGTCGCATCGTCTCAGTGGCAGGTCCCGCCCAATCTCACCTCATCGCGAGTGCCAGCGTCGTCAGTCCCATCCCGGCGGTTCAACTCGGGCCTGAAGCTCGTTGCCATCGCCACGTCATCGTCATCCCACTCTTCCCGTTTCCTCGGGCCGCCTTTGGACGCGCCTCAAAAACCCAAACTTCCCGTTCCCCGCGCCGACTCCTGTCGCCATGATTCGCTACACGCGCCTGTCCGGCCAGTGTGGCCTTGCCGCGGTCGTCGCTGGTGTCGTTGCCATCAGCTTCCTCGCGACCCACGCCAGCGCCGCTGAAGGTGAGTAGGCTGACTGCCACACGCCACTGGCAGAAGGCTTGTGGTGCTGGCGCGTGGATGAGTGCTGGCGTGTGGATGAGTGCTGGCGTGTGGATGAGTGCTGGCGTGTGGATGAGTGCTGGCGTGTGGATGAGTGCTGGCGTGTGGATGAGTGCTGGCGTGTGGATGAGTGCTGGCGTGTGGATGAGTGCTGGCGTGTGGATGAGTGCTGGCGTGTGGATGAGTGCTGGCGTGTGGATGAGTGCTGGCGTGTGGATGAGTGCTGGCGTGTGGATGAGTGCTGGCGTGTGGATGAGTGCTGGCGTGTGGATGAGTGCTGGCGTGTGGATGAGTGCTGGCGTGTGGATGAGTGCTGGCGTGTGGATGAGTGCTGGCGTGTGGATGAGTGCTGGCGTGTGGATGAGTGCTGGCGTGTGGATGAGTGCTGGCGTGTGGATGAGTGCTGGCGTGTGGATGAGTGCTGGCGTGTGGATGAGTGCTGGCGTGTGGATGAGTGCTGGCGTGTGGATGAGTGCTGGCGTGTGGATGAGTGCTGGCGTGTGGATGAGTGCTGGCGTGTGGATGAGTGCTGGCGTGTGGATGAGTGCTGGCGTGTGGATGAGTGCTGGCGTGTGGATGAGTGCTGGCGTGTGGATGAGTGCTGGCGTGTGGATGAGTGCTGGCGTGTGGATGAGTGCTGGCGTGTGGATGAGTGCTGGCGTGTGGATGAGTGCTGGCGTGTGGATGAGTGCTGGCGTGTGGATGAGTGCTGGCGTGTGGATGAGTGCTGGCGTGTGGATGAGTGCTGGCGTGTGGATGAGTGCTGGCGTGTGGATGAGTGCTGGCGTGTGGATGAGTGCTGGCGTGTGGATGAGTGCTGGCGTGTGGATGAGTGCTGGCGTGTGGATGAGTGCTGGCGTGTGGATGAGTGCTGGCGTTTGGTTCAGCGGCGCACAATCATAGCAGAAACTGACTCGTTTGAACCCCCTTTCCCTACCTTGCCTGTGTGCTGGTGTGTGTGCCTCTTCGCCCCTGCGTGAAACAATCACGATTTCTGTGCAGACCTGTGTGCCAACGAAGACTGTGGAGAAGCTACCTGCACTGTTGATATAGACATGCCCGTGTGCGTGTGCAAGGACGGTTTTGTATTCGACGATGACCACAAGACGTGTGTGGTGGGTGAGTGCTAGTGTGTGGGTGAGTGCTAGTGTGTGGGTGAGTGCTAGTGTGTGGGTGAGTGCTAGTGTGTGGGTGAGTGCTAGTGTGTGGGTGAGTGCTAGTGTGTGGGTGAGTGCTAGTGTGTGGGTGAGTGCTAGTGTGTGGGTGAGTGCTAGTGTGTGGGTGAGTGCTAGTGTGTGGGTGAGTGCTAGTGTGTGGGTGAGTGCTAGTGTGTGGGTGAGTGCTAGTGTGTGGGTGAGTGCTAGTGTGTGGGTGAGTGCTAGTGTGTGGGTGAGTGCTAGTGTGTGGGTGAGTGCTAGTGTGTGGTCGAGTGCGCGCGTGTGGGGGAGTGCACAATCATAAGCAACATTTTCACCCATTTAACCTGCTCTCCCTGCGTCACCATTTAACCTGCTCTCCCTGCGTCACCATTTAACCTGCTCTCCCTGCGTCACCATTTAACCTGCTCTCCCTGCGTCACCATTTAACCTGCTCTCCCTGCGTCACCATTTAACCTGCTCTCCCTGCGTCACCATCGCTTCCTCTGCAGACCCGTGTGCCGGCAGCGGGGTGTGTGGGTTAGAGGGTTCCTGCACCACTCTCGGTCCTAACGATTTTTTCTGCTATTGCGAGAATGGCCTTGCCTTCAACGAGGCTGACAAGACGTGCTATGGTGAGTGCTGCACTCGTGAGCAGTAGCTTCATTCCTTGAGGCATCTCATCGTTTCAGTCTCACTGGTGAGCTTTAGGCACTACATTCCTTGAGGCATCTCATCGTCTCATCGTTACATTCCTTGAGACACTGAGAGGCGCCGCTGAGAGGCAGGGCCGGAAACGTTCACCCCTCCTCACTCCTCCCGTGCCTTCCCCCCTGTCTGGTCTGCCCCCTTGCTCTCCTCTCTCCTGTCCTGCCTCCAAACCGCCATCATCGTCACGCAACCTTCAACGGCCATGATCTGGCATTGCCCGTCTCCTTGAACGGCTGTCAGCTCCCTTGGCGCGGACGACAGTGGCGCTGCAGCAAGGAGGCTCCAGAAGCATTGTGCCCGCCACCTTCTTTTTGCCGCTGCCGGCAGAGCAGGCCAGTGGCAGCAGTGCGTGCGGCAACCTGTATGTCACCATCGAAGGCACCGCCAAGATCACCGTCGTGTGGAATGCCTCCAACCCCACCTCGCCTTCCCGCGACGCCCCTAGCAACGCCATGTGCAAGAGCTTGTCGTTCTACGCCGAGTCGGGCTGCACGAAGAAGCTGGGCTTCACCATTGCGCGTCCTGCAAAGAAGGGCAGTTCCTACCCCGTCACCATCAAGTGAGTGAGCGTTATGCATGCAACTGCATGGTTTGTTCCAATGTGCTTGCATCACATAGTACGGCACTTTTCTATCACCAGAAATTGCTTGACTGTCTCGTAGTTGTAGTGTGAATGGACCCTAGCTCGTCCTAAGCTTTGCTCTTTCCCATCCTTACCTCTCCCGCACTCAGGACTGTCAAAGGAATCCGTTCGCTGTTATCAGTTGGCTGTGAGATCAGTAAGTGCGAGTGCATGCACGTTACGCTGGTGTTATTTTCCCTTCACGTAAAGAGTGTCACGTGCACATTAGAGAAGATCTCCAAGCACGCTAGCTTGTGCTTTGCTCATTCTGATGAAATCAATGAAACGAGAGAGATACCGTAAGATAGAGCGAGACACCCAAGCTCTTCTTTTTTGTGATTCTTTCATTCGACTCACCATGCCTGAAAATCCATTCCCCCCTTCTTCATGTCTGGATTGTTTGTCTCTCTGTGGTGCCCACAACAGCCATGTGTGAGAATGATTGTGGAAGTGCACAGTGCGTTGTGAAGGGGGGCCAGCCACAGTGCCAGTGCCCCGAGGGCCTCGTGTTCAACGCTGCTAAGAAGCGCTGCCTCGACCCGTCTCTTGCTCCTCGTAGGCGACCCTAGCTGGATGGACAGGGGGCAAGGACGTCATATCCGGGAGGTGGGAGGGGGGGGGAGAGAAGGGGGGGTGGGGGGTGGGGGATGGAGCAACGGTGGGAGCAACCGTATGCGGTAGCTTGGAGGCTAGGGAACTACCGTAATCACCCGGACATACCACCCGCCGAAATAGAACACCCCCCGGGTGGCTTGTGCGGGGTGGGTGCTATAGCGGACCTCGTTTCTACTATACCCCCCTTTTGGGCCGATCCGGTATAAGACCCGGGGGGGGGGGGGTGTTATGTACGGAAAAAAATGTTGTTTTTGCCTAAATTTTGCGCAGGGACGTGATCGCACCAGCGAGGCTGCTAAGCCTGTTGCGGGACTCCCGCCTCTGTGACTGCATGAATCCTCGTCGAGCGACGGGGGGTGTGTTTTCGACCAATCAGGGCATGATAGAGGGTCTGTTGGAGCTTGCAATGTGGCAGCTTCCACTCGAGGCTAAGGGCGTGTGCACTAGGGGTTCAAACTTCTGTCTAAGTTCGAAATTTTAGCGAGGTTCTAATCGGTGCAAAGCGGTGAATGTTTGAACTTTGACAAATTTCGCCCACAGTGCACACGCCCTAACGTTATCACCTCATCCTCGGTTTTGCGCACCGAACCAACAATCTACCACCGCAGCAAGCATGTACATTTTGTTCCCAACCGTTTCTGCTTTAAAAAAAATGTACATTATAAAAAGACCCGGGTGTTATGTAGCTTTTTCCCATGACAAGACCCCCCCCCTTTTTTTGATGTAGTTATCATAGCACCCTAGGGTGGTATGTCCGGGTGATTACGGTATTTGCCTGACAGGTTGGTTGGCTGGTTCACTTGTGTATGGTACTAGAAATGGGATTACCAGTGTGTGTGTGCTTCCCTGTACAGTAGAATTTACTTTTACCTCCTTCAGACTGCTGTTTTTTGGGTTGCGAAGCAACCTATTACAATCGTTATGTTCATTTTTTTTTCTTCCACTACGGTATATTAAAAAAATTCTAGTGAATGATAGCTAAGTGACTACCGGTATGTATTTGCCATGGCAATTAGCCAGGGCCTCAGATGTCAGAGAAAAAAGGCTGAATTAGTGTCTAGAGGCTGATTTCACAGACATGTGGAAGAGGTGTTGGCTGAAATTTCAGTTTTTTTTTTTAAGTAGTTGGCTGATTTTTCAGTTTTTTTTTTTAAGGTGTGGCTGAATTCCCAGCGTTTTTTTACAAGTGTAGTCTGATTGATCAGACTTGTAACGCGAGAGTAGGCTGAAATCACGCTTGTACAGATTCGTGCTGGAGCCGCGAGATTCGGCTGTCCAGGTACAACCACCGTCAATCACGCTAATGTGGCCATGTACAGCGCCGGCGCAGCGGGAAAACGAATTTCCCCGTCGCGTCGGTTGCTTCGTTGGCACCGACAGAATGCTGTAAGTGATGGGACTGGTTGTTTAACCAATCACATCCCTTATGGGCCAATCACCCACCACCAGTGCAACACAGCAAAGCACTGCACTCACTCACGACAAGACACCCACCTCAAGTGCGTGCATGGTGCCCCCACGTCGCGCCGCGTTGCAGTTGGGTGGTGAGAAGGAGAGGGCCTTCTTTTGTGGCTCCGACCGTGAACTTGACGGCCTAGAGGAAGCCACGACGGGGCTTGATATGCTCCTGCGCTCGCTAGGCACTGGTCTCCACGCTACCAGGCCTCCTACAACAAAGCCTGCTCCAGTTGAGAGGGTGAACCGCGACCACCCACCGCCATCTACAAGCCCGGACTCCATCCGGAGTGAACCTGCTGCGCCTGCTGCCGTCTCCGACACAGTGGTTGTCGAGTCGCCTGCAACGCGCAACTTCAAACTGAAGCAGGCGACGCTGATCCGGGCAAAGCCTTCTTCCAGCACCGCCGTCGAGCAACCTGTCGTGACCAACTCATCCCCTCATCCATCATTGCTCGTTGACCTTTCGGAAGCAGTTGAAGCAGTCTATGCAGACGCTCTCTTGAAGTACAAAAATAGGTGGTCTGAGAGGTTCCCGTGGCTTGTGCTAACCAAATCTAAATCTGGTTTCCCAGCTTTTAAGTGCAGTGTCTGCACCAAGCATGCCGGACTCAGAGGACGTTGTGGCCAGACAGGGAGCGGGGCCACCGACGTGCAGACGCAGGCGTTTCGCAAGCACGCCGGCACAACGAAACACAAGCTTGCGATGGAGAAGCAGGAGGCCCTGCTGAACGCGGCCTCGAAGCAGCCACGAATCGACCAACATCGAGCCGCCGTCGATGCTGAGAAGAACCGAGTCGTGGCGTTGCTCGACTCCATGCTGTTCGTCAGTTCATGCGATGCGCCCATGGGAACATGGGTAAAGCTGGTGCAGTACCTCGCGCGCAAGGGGGTTCAAGGCTTCCCAAAGAAGGGATATGGCACCTACTACACAACGTGAGTACACCTTCCCCCTGTATTTTGTTGGTGTGTTGTGATGTTTGTACATTAACCTACTTCTAATCTCCTGTTTTCTGTTTCCCTGTGGGCAGGTACGGCTTCGGTGAGCTCACGCAGGCCCTTGCTACCTGGCTACAGACAACTCAGCTAGAGCACATCCTGACAAGCCCTTTCATCGGCATCTGCATCGATGAAAGCACGGATCGGCTCAGGGGGAAGCACATGATCCTGTACGCCTCGTTAATTCGCGACAACGTGCTCGTGACCGAGTTTATGCAGCTAATCACGGTGGAAAAGGCGGACGCTTCATCTCTTCTGAGCGTCCTGCTTTCCCACTTGCAGGCCGTCGGTGTCGACCTGCAGAGGATTTCCGGCATTTGCACCGACGGCGCACGAGTGATGATGGGGACTAAGGCCGGATTGGTTGTCCGACTGCGACAGAAAATCCCGCACCTTGTCTCCGTTCACTGCATCGCGCACAGGTTAGTGAGCTATGCGGTTCAGTTTCCATCCCGTTTCCACTGTCTGTTTAGGACATATCTGATTTCCCCCGTGTGATGTGTTCCACTTGCAGGGAAGCACTTGCAGCGAAGGATGCGGCAGAGGAGCTCCCCGTCTTCGACATGGTCGACGATCTTATCCGGGCTGTGGCAGATTTGCTTGGTCGGTCGGGACCGCGCCACGCACGGTTCATGGACCTGCAAGAGGTCATCACCGAAACAAGCCTTGAAGTGCAAGGCATCCACTCCGTTCGGTGGCTGTCACGGGGGGATGCCGTCCGTCGCCTGGTCGCTGTCTTGCCGGCAGTGATTGTGCTGCTGAAGGAGCTTAACAGCAAAATGTTCGCGCTGGCAAGCTCCTATCGTTTTCACTTCTTCCTTTACTTCCTGGCAGATGTGCTTGAGCAGCTCAACATCTTGAACAAGACCTTCCAGCGGAGACAGGTGAGGTGGTGCGATTTTCCCCATGCATGTAACCCTATTTCGGCCGTCACTAACATTGTCACTGTATGCCTTCGTCTGTCCAGCTTGATCTGGTGTCTTTGCATGCGCAGATCAAGCGGACCACGCATCACATCGAGAGCCGCTACGTGGACTGCGGCGATGACTTCGGCGGTGGCAGCAGCCAGTGGCTGTCACCTTTCCTGGAGCGCCATGGCCCGGGGTGTAGCCGCGAAGTGAAGGTGGAAGGTGTCGACAGTGACGGCCGGCCATCTACAGTCACGTTCACCCTTCACGACGAGCCCGTGGACTCGTACAGCGGCCCGGAAGACCACGACGGCTGCATCCAGTTGTGCACCGAGTTCGCGGAACGGATCGTGGCGAACCTGGAGGGTCGGCTCGGTGATCTCGACTCGCTTTCAGGAGTCCGCCTCTTCACTCCTGATGCATGGCCACAGGGCAAGTCCGAGCGGAATGCACGTTGCCAGGAGTGGCTCAACTCGCTGGTGACGATGTTCAAGGCTCAGGACCGTGAGGAGATTTTGCCAGGTTCGTTAAGCCTAACTTGTCAAGTCATGACTTCATCCATATGTTTGAATGACAATCCTTTGGTTCAGTTTGCTCCTTTGTCTCTTCTGAACCCTGCCTCCCTCCCTTCCACCAGGCATCAAAAAGAGGCAGGCAGTCAAGGAGCTTCGCCTCTTCTGTTCAGTCCTTGCGTGTGCCCCCAAGGAAGAGCGGGGCTTCCACAGCGGTCCGACGGCGATCCTGAAGACGCCAGACTGGCGGGAGAGCTACCCCAATCTGGTGCAGCTCTGGGTGGTGGTGGCTGTGATTCCCCTCAGCACAGTGGAGTGTGAAAGGGGATTCACCCGGCAGAACGTGAATAAGACATGGCGGCGGGGGGGGATCAAGGACGCGAGACTGGGGGACCTCATGTGTCTGTCCCTCATGTCAAACATTGCATGTTTATATTGTCTAGGCTGTAGTGGGTTACACCTTAGGGGGTACACAAAGTTAGGGTTTCCTACTTGTACCAAACTCTGTTCTAGTTCATCCATTCCTGCTCAGTTATTTCTGACATGGTTTCAGAGCAGGTCCTTCGCTAGGACTGTTCTTAGGGCCCACCGACTTACCTACCTGCTTACCTTCGCTTCTTTTCGGCCCCGATGGCCCCGTCGATCTAGCACGATCTAGCGGCCCTGCGGCCCCTTCGAATTTTTTTTTTAGCGGCCTCTCACGGCCCCCGTCGCGTCGCCCCTTAGCGCCCCGATCGGCCCCGTCACGCCGCCCGCGAACCGCACAGCGCGCCGCGCTCACAGCCCGCGAACCGCCCACGCACAGCCCGCGAACCGCCTGCGCAGCCCGCGACCAGCCCGCGCAGCCCGCGCACAGCCCGCGAACTGCCCGCGAGCAGCCCGCGACCCGCTTACGCAGCCCGCGAGCAGCCCGCGCAGCCCGCGCTGAGCCTGCGCGGCTCGTGCGCTGACCGCCGCCGGCCCGCACGCTGCCCGCACTGCTCCCGGCCCGCCGCTGCCGAGCCCGCAGCCGCCCGCGCACCGCCTCTGCTGAGCCCGCAGCCGCCCGCGCACCGCCGCTGCTGCGCCCGCTGCCGCCCGCGCACCACCGCTGCTGAGCCCGCAGCCGCCCGCGCACCGCCTCTGCTGAGCCCGCCGCCGCCCGCGCACCGCCGCTGCTGCGCCCGCTGCCGCCCGCGCACCACCGCTGCTGAGCCCGCCGCCGCCCGCGCACCGCCGCTGCTGCGCCCGCCGTCGCCCGCGAATCACCGCTGCTGAGCCCGCCCCTGCTACGCCGGCTCTCGCTGCCGCCTGCTGCGCCTGTGCACCACTGCATTCCTACTACTACACTTTCTGCTACTACTGCTTGTGCGCCACTACAGTCCGTAGGCCCCACCGGCCCCGCTGACCCTGCGCACGCCTTTTCAGTGACTTTACTGCTTCTACTACTGCCGCTGTCGCTATGGCTAGTCCTCCTGTTCTAGCTTTCGACGCCGAGGGCCGTCCGGTCAAATTCGAAACCTGGCTAGATGACCTGCACCTTTTCCTACAGCTCACTGCCAAGGAAGATATTACACTGTACGACCACGCTCTCGGCCATGCGACCGCCCCACTCGCTACTGCCCCCCCAGCTGAGCGCTCACAGTGGCAGACCCGTGACGCGCACGCTCGCTTTGCTATTCGCAACTCCCTGCCGCTAGATGAGCGCGAGCACTTCGGCCAGTGCAAGACTGCTAAGGACCTCTACACAGCTGTAGTGGCCCGCTACTCCTCACCCGCTTCTGCCACACTAGGCCGCCTCACTCTCCCCTACCTGTTCCCCGACCTAGCCTCCTTTCACACTGTCGCAGACCTCATCACCCACCTTAAGACTAGTGAGGCTCGCTTTCGCGCTGCCATGCCTGATGAGTTCCTCGCTAGCAACCCCCCCCCGCTCTGGATCACTCTCTACCACGTTGTCACCCGCCTCCCTGACTCTCTGCGCCCTGTCAGGGACCAGTTCCTCTCTCGCTCCCCCACTGAGCTCACCATAGCCCTCCTCGAGAAGGAACTGCTTGCAGCCGAGGCTAGTATCGTCGCTGTAGGCACCTCTCGTGGCGACCCCCGCGGCCCCTTCTTCGAGGGGTGCTCCCCTTCCCCCCTCCTCCCCTCTGTCGCCTCTGCTGCTGCTGTCGACCTCCTTGGTGCTGAGAAGGTCGGGGCTGCGTCTGCTTCAGGCGGACGACGCAGGGGCAGGAGTGGCAGGAGTGGGGGTGGTGGCGGAGGAGGCGGGGGTGGAGGTGGTGGCGGTGGAGGTGCGACTGGAGAGGCTAGTGGCGGCGGTGGTGGAGGTGACAGCGGTGTTGGGAGTGGTGACAGGGGCGGAGGTGGCAGCGGAGGCGGAGGTGGTCGTGGCAGCGGCAGGGGTGGAGGTGGCCGGGGCGGAGGCGGAGGGGGTGGTGGTCGTGGAGGCCCGGGGGGCGGTCAGAGTCAGCAGCCTTCCCCGACCCTTCAGGCCGCCCGTGAGTGGTATGCGCGGCGCAGCGTCACCTGCCAGTACGTTATTCGTACAGGTGACCGCACTGGCCAGATGTGTGGGGGGCCGCACCAGACGGAGCGCTGCTTCGCCCGCCTCAACGATGCGTGGCGCACCCAGTTTCCTGGTGGGGGTGAGCTGCCGCGCTGGGCTGATCTGCTCAGGAAGGGTGTTGATATTTGGGCACTTGACTTTGATGCTATTCTCACTGCCATGTATGCGATGTCTATTAGTGGAGAGGGTGCTCAGTACTTGCGTGTTCCGCCCGACCCGGGCATTCAGGCCAGCCCCGCTGCTGCTCTAGGTGCTAGTGTGTCTGCTTCCACAGGTACTACTGCAGCTGCTGCTCTAGGTGCTTGTGCGTCTGTGCCCCCTGGTACTGAGTCGACTGCAGCACTGCACACCTTCACACTGGACTCAGGTGCTTCTCGCTCTTTCTTTCGTGACCGCACTGTCCTTGAGCCTCTAGCTCGGCCGGTTGCTGTCTCTCTTGCTGACCCCTCTGGGGGTCCGGTCCTTGCGACCTCCTCCACCACCCTTCCGTGTCCAGCGGTTCCGTCCGGCACACTCTCAGGTCTCTACCTCCCCTCGTTCTCCACGAACTTGGTGGCAGGTAGTGCGCTCCAGGACTCGGGTGTTCACCAGTTCACCCCTGCCTACGAGCGTGTGACTCACTGCACGTGTGCTCGGACGGGCCGCCACCTGGCTACTTTCACTCGAGAGCCGGGGTCTGACCTGTACACACTGACCACTGAGTCCCCTCAGGTAGCTGCGTCTGCGTCAGCGTCAGGTCAGCTGTCCGCCCCCTGCTCGTGTCGCTCTCTGGCGAACGACACCGTCCTCTGGCACCACCGCCTTGGTCACCCGTCTGTGCAGCGCCTGCGGGCCATGCACAAACGGGACCTTGTTGCTGGTCTTCCCAGGGTGCTCCCTCCCCTTCCTGACTCCCCTGCTCCTGACTGCATTCCCTGTGTCGAGGGGCGGCAGCGCGCCGCTCCTCACTCCTCCTCCTTTCCCCCGACGACCGCTCCCCTGCAGACGCTCCACATGGACGTGTGGGGCCCAGCCCGCGTCCGTGGTCAGGGTCAGGAGAGGTACTTCCTGATAGTTGTTGACGACTACTCGCGCTACACCACGGTCTTCCCCTTGCGCGCCAAGGGTGACGTCCCTGGTGTTTTGATCCCCTGGATCAGCCGAGCCCGTCTCCAGCTAGGCGAGCGCTTTCACTCGGACTTTCCTGTCCTGCGCTTGCACTCTGACAGGGGTGGTGAGTTCGCCTCCGACCTCTTGGCAGCCTACTGTGCTGAGCACGGCATTGAGCAGTCGTACACGCTTCCGGCCTCTCCACAGCAGAATGGGGTTGCTGAGCGCCGCATTGGCTTAGTCATGGAGGTCGCTCGTACCTCCCTGACCCATGCGGCTGCTCCCCACTTTCTGTGGCCGTTTGCGGTCCGGTACGCAGCACATCAGCTCAACCTCTGGCCCCGTGTCTCCTTGCCGGAGACTTCCCCGACTCTACGGTGGACGGGAGAGGTTGGCGATGCGTCGCGTTTCCGGGTCTGGGGATCTCGAGCCTTTGTCCGCGACACGTCTGCGGACAAGCTCTCACGTCGCACTGTTCCCTGTGTCTTTCTTGGCTTTGTTCCCGACGCGCCTGGATGGCAGTTTTACCACGTCACCTCGCGCCGGGTTCTGGCCTCTCAGGACGTCACTTTTGACGAGTCCGTCCCCTTCTACCGCCTCTTCCCCTACCGCACTGCCCCACTCCCCCCCCCGCCTCTCTTCCTCGCTCCAGGTGCTGAGGTACCAGACCCCCTCCCCCCTCAGGGTGCCGCTCCCTCAGGTGTGTCCCAGGTAGACCCGGGTGAGCCTGTCGAGGTAGCTGTTGACTCGCGTCCTGCGTCTGGGGGTGCTGAGCCTGGAGGTGCGGAGCCTGGGGGTGCTGAGCCTGGAGGTGCGGAGCCTGGAGGTGCGGAGTCTGGGAATGCTGAGTCTGGACGTGCTGAGTCTGGGGGTGCTGAGTCTGGGGGTGCTGAGTCTGGGGGTGCTGAGTCTGGGGGTACTCCACCTGGAGGAGCCCTCTCCTCCCAGCAGCTGCAGGAGAGGTACCTCGAGTACTGCCGCCTCCGGAGAGGTGCTTCTGGAGCTCGTCCCGGTACTTCCCCTCCTACCCAGGAGCTCCCCCCCATTCAGGTGATCCGCGAGTGGTACACGCGGCGCTGCAGTCTTCGTAGTGGTGCTCCTGGTGCTGCGGACCCGAGCGGTGGTGCTGTTGCTGGTGCTGAGGACCCGGACGCTGGAGCTGCTGCTGGTGCTGAGGACCCGGGGGCTGGAGCTGCTGCTGGTGCTGAGGACCCGGGCGTTGGAGCTGCTGCTGGTGTTGAGGACCCGACCGGTGGCGCTGCTGCTGGTGCTGAGGACCTGACCAGTGGCCCTGCTGCTGGTGCTGAGGACCCGGGCGTTGGAGCTGCTGCTGGTGCTGAGGACCCGACCGGTGGTGCTGCTGCTGGTGCTGAGGACTCGGGCGTTGGAGCTCCTGCTGGTGCTGAGGACCCGGGCGTTGGAGCTGCTGCTGGTGCTGAGGACTCGGGCGTTGGGGCTGCCACTGGTGTCCCTGCTGTTTCTGGAGACGCTGCGCGGCCGCGACCGTACTTCGTACCGCTCCTTCAGCAGGTTCTTGGTCAGGCTCCTCCTCTTAGTCCTCCTCCCTCCGTAGCGTGTCCTCCGCCTGTCCAGCCGCAGTCATAGTTACCGCCTACCTCGCCTCTCCCTGCTCCCTCCCCTTACGCTGGTCCCACAGGAGGTCTTACAGAGCGTCGTGAGCCTGAGTCTCGTCCTGCGTCGCCTGTTCGTACTGCTCGCACTGGTCGTCGTGTCCCACGTGAGCGTCCTCCTCCTGTCCCTGGCACTCACTACATGACTCTGCGTCCCTCCACTGCTCCGCAGCGTGTCCCGCTGCCGTCTCCTCCTGCGTCCTCTCTTCCTACTCTTCCTGACCCGGAGTCTGACTCCCGTCGTGCTGCCAGTCCCACTGTTACGCGTCTCCTCGCTACAGTTGTCACTGACCCGACCTTTGAGTCCTCTGCTGCGTCTGCTCTGGTCACTGAGTTGGTTGACTTTGCTGCTCGCTGTCGCCTAGACTACGCTGCCAGCCTTGTCGCTAGGTCTGAGTCTGCGTCTGCCTGTCCTCCGTCCGTCGGGGGTGAGTGTGCCCTCGGCACGGACGTCCTTGAGGACAGACAGGAGGAGTTCCACTGCCTTGCTGCTGCTTTGCCCCGTCTCGTGTCCTTGCTAGTTGCCCCTGAGGGAGACCCGGATGCACCAGACATCCCGACCCCACGCTCTTACGCTGAGGCGATGGCGGGTCCCTACTCCTCTCAGTGGCAGACAGCCATGGACGCAGAGATGGCCTCCTGGAAGTCCACAGGCACCTACGTAGACGAGGTTCCCCCTCCTGGGGCGAACATTGTCAGTGGCATGTGGATTTTCAGGGTGAAGCGGCCGCCGGGTTCTCCGCCTGTTTTCAAGGCGCGCTACGTGGCTCGAGGCTTCAGTCAGCGAGAGGGAGTAGACTTCTTTCAGACCTTCTCCCCCACCCCGAAGATGACTACTCTTCGGGTGCTGCTGCACATAGCCGCTCACCGCGACTACGAGCTTCACTCTCTTGACTTCAGCACTGCTTTCTTGCAGGGCAGCCTGCACGAGGAGATCTGGCTGCGTCGCCCCCCTGGCTTCACTGGGTCAGTTCCTCCTGGCACCCAGTGGAGGCTTCAGCGGCCGGTCTACGGTCTCCGCCAGGCGCCACGTGAGTGGCACGACACACTGAGGACGACACTTGCGGCTCTTGGGTTCGCTCCCTCTACTGCTGACCCGTCGCTGTTTCTACGCACCGACACCTCGCTGCCGCCGTTCTACATCCTCGTGTACGTTGACGACTTGGTCTTTGCCACTGCTGACACCGCGGCACTCGCTCACGTGAAGTCGGAGCTGCAGAGGAGACACACGTGCACAGACCTGGGTGAGCTGACGAGCTATCTTGGCTTGCGGATCACCCGGGACAGAGCACGGCGCACCATCACCCTGACTCAGTCACACATGGTGCAGCAGGTTCTCCAGCGCTTCCGCTTCACGTACTCCTCGCCTCAGTCCACTCCTCTGCCTACCGGTCACTCGCTCTCAGCTCTGCCTTCGGATGAGTCCGTAGAGCCGAGTGGCCCGTATCCAGAGCTTGTGGGCTGCCTCATGTACCTGATGACCTGCACTCGACCTGACCTTGCATACCCTCTTAGCATCCTAGCACGCTATGTCGCTCCTGGCCGTCACCGGAAGGAGCACATGGATGCTGCTAAGAGGGTGTTGCGCTACTTGTGCAGTACGTCGGGCATGGGGCTTGTGCTTGGAGGGCGAGACCGGGTTGTTCTCACAGGGCACTCAGACGCTTCTTGGGCAGACGACCAGGCTACTCAGCGGTCGTCCCAGGGTTACACCTTCAGCCTTGGCTCTGGCACAGTTTCTTGGCGTTCTACTCGCTCTTCTTCTGTTCTCAGCTCCAGTTGTGAGGCTGAGATCTACGCCACAGCCATGGCCGCTCAGGAGCTACGCTGGCTGACCTACCTGCTGACCGACCTCGGAGAGCGGCCTCGTTCTCCTCCAGTGCTGTACGTCGACAACAAGGCTGCCATTGCCTTGTGTGAGGAGCACAGACTGGAGCACAGAACGAAGCACATCGCTCTGCGGTACTTCCTGGCTCGAGAGCTGCAGCAGCGTGGTCAGCTTTGTCTGCGTTACGTGGCCACGGAGGCCAACACTGCTGATGTGTTCACCAAGGCGCTTCAGCCTTGTGACCATCAGCGCTTTTGCACTCTGCTAGGCCTTGTACCTACTGGGCCTCACTTACTTACCTCTTGACCTTGCTTGTACTGTGATCACTATATATATATGCCTACTTGTTTACGTTTGCTAGGTTGTGATCACTGTATCTCTTGCTTTGTTATAAACCTGCATGTGAACTGGTCTTGTGACCGCTTGCTTGTGCTCGGAATTTGTGTGGAATCCTTGAGATCCACCCTGAGCTTGTTTTGCTTTGCTTTGACTGGTCTTGTGACCCTGTGGCTGTCTCCCACTGCGCCTATGGGGGTGTGTCAAACATTGCATGTTTATATTGTCTAGGCTGTAGTGGGTTACACCTTAGGGGGTACACAAAGTTAGGGTTTCCTACTTGTACCAAACTCTGTTCTAGTTCATCCATTCCTGCTCAGTTATTTCTGACACCTCATGCAGTACGAGCCCAACTACGATGAGGTAGTTGAGATTTGGCGGAGTTACAGAAAGCGCAAGCCTTTCAGTAATGCCCCCATCTTCACCTCGACCCTAGGCGACAAGAAGGGCAAGCATGAGGAGCCAATAGATGAAGATGATGAGGAGCCAGTAGGAGATGCATGAGGTAGTTCTAGTGATGAAGATGATGAAATGAGCAGCTAACTTCATGTAGTGTAGACTGTGTAGTGCTTATCCATGTACTGTAGTGCCTTGAGCAGCTGACGTAGTGTAGTGTCATTAGTGTAGTGTAGTGTAATGTCACATGCTACATCGTATGAATAAAAGTGCTGAAACTTAGATCAGCCTTCGTTTTTTAGAGAGGCTGATTAGTCAGCGTTTTTTTAAGGACTTGTCTGAAAGTTCAGCTTTTTTGTTACACCCAACTCTGATAGATCAGCCTAGGGTAGCTTGCTAAGGCTGACGTATCAGCCAAGCTAAAAACGAATATGAGGCCCTGCAATTAGCACTTCGTTCTCATTTCCTAGTTTGGATGAACCACCGTATCACCCCGGATAGAAGCGCATATGCGCTTATAATAAAATCAGTTTTTTTGGGGGGGGGGGGGGGGGGGGGGGGGGGTTAATTGAGTATCGGCCATAAGCGCCGGCGCTTATATAATGACAAATATAGAATTATAACTTAAACGCACCAAACTGTACATTTTTGTCAAGTAAGTTCAATCGAGTCGAAATTTTACAGCTTCCTGAATCAGAATCGCGCGAGGGCGATTCTCTGACGCTGAACAGAGCATTTGGCACATCAATTTGCCCGCGTGCCACCTCGTCCTGACTGGACGCGCAACCAGTCAGGACCTCGAAAGTCAAACAAGGTGAAAATGGGTGCTGACTCGCTTGGAAGTTGAGATTCGCTACCGTTTTAATCAGGATTGAAAAAATAAAATTATGCATGCGCTTATAATAAATCAGGGGTTTACAAGGGGGGCGCTTATAATCAAGTTCCGGCCATAAGCGCCATGCTCCAGATAGAAGCGCCGGCACCTTTAATCGGACGGCGCCTATATCCGGGGCCATACGGTATACTATACGGACGAAATATGAACATGCGTTACTAAAACGATGTTACTTTGAATGCATAGTTGTTCATTTCGTAATGCATATGACGGGCGATGTTATGCATAATCGAAGTATAATGATGGATATGATGTAAAATGCATAAATATAATGCAGTGTGTTATATGTTGGTAGGCCAATATGGGGTACAACCCCAACTAGGGTTTCATATTTGTACTCAAACTTCTGCTAGTTCATTCATTCTTGCCTAGTGATTCTGATATATGCTACTGTGGTGAATGTACCGGTAGTACCGGTATATACTTCGGTCCAATATAGTGAAATGAATGCATAGCATGATGGAAATGCGTAACAGTTAATTGACCCAGACCCTATGCTACCGCATCCCCTGCCTAGCATGTGGGGGAGCTGAATAGCATAGGTCTTGAATCATTCAACTGTTACATGAAACAACTGTCAAACTATATTTGTTGTTTGTATGTTGTAGGCTACAGTGGGGTAGCCACTAAGGGGTACAACCCCTTTAGGGTTTCATACTTGTATCACATTCTTGCCTTAGTTCATCCTATTCTAGTCTATTATCTTGACATGGTATTAAGAGCCATGGGTCCTTAGGGCCTAAGCTTTTCATAGGGACCACCTGTTACCGCGTTACCCCACTGCCCTACCCCGAGTCGCGCTGCCCCTGTCAGCCACGCGCCACTGCTGCAGCGCGAATTTTTTTTAGCGCACTGCTCTGCCTGCCCCACCCCGCGCGCACTGCTGGCCGCGTCGCGCTGCTGTCGCGTCGCCCCGCCGCCCGCGCGCCTGTCCTGTCCGTGCGCCGCCCGTCGCCGCGCACTGCCCTGCCCGTGGGCAGCCCGCCGCCGCGCCACCTGCTCTGCCCGTGCGCAGCCCGCCGCCGCGCCACCTGCCCTGCTCGTGCGCAGCCCACAGCCGCGCCACCTGCCCTGCCCGTGCGCAGCCAGCCGCCGCGCCTCCCTGCCCTGCCCGTGCGCAGCCCACCGCCGCGCCACCCTGCCCTGCCGTGCGCAGTCCACCGCCGCGCCACCCTGCCCTGCCGTGCGCAACCCGCAGCCGCGCTCTGCCCTGCCCGTGCGCAGCCTGCCCTGCCCTGCCCGTGCGCAGCCTGCCCGCCGCACTCCCTACCCTGCATGTGTGTGCAGTCCGCTTCCTCCCCTGCCGGCTGCCCCTAACCCAGTGAGCGCCGCCTCCTTCTGCCCTGTGCACGCATCCTGCCGCTTGCCCTTTGCCCATGGCGACTTACAATGTTCTCACCTTTGACGCAGAGGGCCGCCCGATCGAATTTGAAACCTGGTTAGACGACCTTAGGCTCTACCTTCAGTGCGAGTCTAAGGATCGTGTGTCCCTGTTCGCTCATACGTCTGGTAGCGCTGCCGCCCCTGCAGACACTGCTGACGCTGACACTCGTGACCAGTGGCTTATTCGCGACGCTGCTGCCCGCCTAGCTGTGCGCAACCACCTACCGTAAGCCGAGCGCGCGCACTTTAGCCAACAGAAAACCGCCAAGGACCTGTTCGACGCAGTCGTAGCTCGCTACAGCTCGCCTGCCACTGCTGCGCTAGGCCGTCTTATCCTGCCCTACCTCTTTCCTGACCTGTCCGCCTTTCCTACAGTCGCTGATCTCATCACCCACCTCCGCACTAGCGACACTCGGGTGCGTGCTGCGACCCCTGCCGACTTCCTCACCAAGAACCCTCCCCCTATCCACTACACCCTCTATCTCCTAGTCACTCGCCTCCCTGACTCTCTTCGCGCTGTCAGGGACACCTTCCTCGCCATGGACCCCACTGAGCTCACTATAGGCGCTTCTCGAGGCACTCCTCGCACCCCCTTCTTCGAGGGGTGTTCCCCCTCTCCCCTCCTCCCCTCTGTCGCCACTGCTGCTGCTGTCGACCTCCTTGGTGCTGAGGAGGTTGGGGTTGCGTCTGCTTCCAGTGGCAGGCGCCGCAGCGGCAAGGGGAAGGGCGGCAAGGGTGGTGGGGGTGGTGGGGGTGGAGGCGGTGGTGGAGGCTCGGGTGGTGGCGGCGGGGGTGGTGGGAGCGGCGGGGGTGGGGGTGGGGGTGTTGGGGTCGGTGGTGGTGGCGGCAGTGGGGGTGGCAGCGGCGGAGGTGGCGGCGGTGGGAGTGGCAGCGGCGTCGGTGGCGGTGGACGCAGTGGTGCGGCCCGGCACAGCGGCTTTACAGGCAGCCAGGCACAGCAGCAGCAGCGCCAGCGCCTGCCCCGTACGCCGCAGGACCTTCGTGAGTGGTACGCGCAGCGTCAGTCGCCTGGGGGTGGTGGTACCTGCCCGTATGTCATTCGTACGGGTGAGCGTGCTGGTTAGACCTTCGGGAGGTTGCACACCCAGCACCGCTGCTTTTCCCGCCTTAGTGGTGCCTGGCGTGCTCAGTTTCCTGACTGCTCTGAGATGACCAACTGGGCTGAGCTGCTTTGGAGGGGAGTAGAGATCTTTGATCTTGACTATGATGCTATCCTTGCTGCCATGTATGCATTGACTATTAGTGATGAGGGTGACTGTTACCTGTGTGTTCCGCCAGACCCTGGTATAGAGGCTGCTGCTCCAGGTGCTTGTGAGTCTGTTGCCCTTGGTGCTTGTGAGTCTGCTGCTCTAGGTGCTAGTGAGTCTGCTCTCTAAGGTACTGCGCCTACTGAGGCCTTGTACACTTTCACGCTAGACTCAGGTGCCTCCCGCTGCTTCTTCCGCGACAGCACCACAGTCACACCGCTCTCTGCACCGGTTCCCGTCTCCCTTGCTTACCCCTCTGGGGAACCTGTCCTTGCTCGTTCCTCCACTGTCCTCCCCTGTCCGGCGGTCCCGTCTGGCTCACTTACAGGTCTCCACCTCCCCTCGTTCTCCACGAACCTGGTGAGTAACGCCGTCATCCAGGATGAGTGGGTTGACACCTTCACCCCTGGAGGACGTCGTGTGGCGATCTGCACGTGTGCCCGCACGGGCCGCCACCTGGCCACGTTCACCCGTCGGCCTGGGTCGAGTCTGTACACCCTGACTGTCGGGTCTCCCCAGGTTGCTGCTACTGGTCAGGTGTCCTTGTCCGGACTGCAGTCTGCCCCTTGCTTGTGTCGTCGCCTGTCGCACCAGACTCTCCTCTGGCACCACCGCCTTGGTCACCCCTCTCTGCCACGCCTCCGTGGCATGCACTCCCGTCTGCTTGTCTCTGGTCTTCCCCAGTCGCTGCCGTCGCTCCCACGCTCGCCTGCCCCGCCGTGTCTCCCTTGTGTCGAGGGGCGGCAGCGCGCCGCTCCTCACTCCTCCTCGTTTCCCCCGACAGACGCTCCCCTGCAGACTCTCCACATGGACGTGTGGGGCCCAGCCCGCGTCCGGGGACAGGGCCGCGAGCAGTACTTTCTGCTGGTTGTTGACGACTACTCGCGGTACACCACGGTCTTCCCCTTGCGCAGCAAGGGTGAAGTCCCTGCTGTCTTGATCCCTTGGATCCGCGCTGTTCGTCTCCAGCTCCGCGACCGTTTCCAGACGGACTTTCCCGTCCTACGTCTGCACTCTGACAGAGGTGGTGAGTTTTCCTCCGACCTCTTGCAGGACTTTTGTCAGGGGGAGGGCATCCTCTAGTCGTTCACGCTTCCGGCCTCTCCGCAGCGGAATGGGGTTGCTGAGCGCCGCATTGGCCTAGTCATGGAGATCGCTCGCACCTCCATGATCCATGCGGCTGCTCCCCATTTTCTGTGGCCGTTTGCGGTCCGGTACGCTGCGCATCAGCTCAACCTCTGACCCCGTGTCTCCTTGCCGGAGACTTCGCCCACACTGCGTTGGACGGGGAAGGTTGGCGATGCGTCACGTTTCCGGGTCTGGGGCTCTCGTGCCTTTGTCCGCGATACCACCACGGACAAGCTCTCCGCTCGCGCCATTCCCTGCGTCTTCCTTGGCTTCCCTACTGACGCGCCTGGCCGGCAGTTTTACCACCCCACATCGCGCCGTGTTCTGTCCTCTCAGGACAACACGTTTGACGAGTCGGTTCCCTTTTACCGTCTCTTCCCCTACCGCGCTGCCCCCCTCCCCCCCCCCCCCCCCCCCCCCCCCCGCGCTTCCTCGCTCCAGGTCCGCCCCCGGTAGAACCCCTCTCCCCTCAGGGTCCTGCTCCTTCAGGTGTTTCCCAGGTAGACCCCTCTCCCCTGGTTGAGCCTGTCGAGGTCACTGGAAGAGCGAGGAAGAGCGGCAGGGGGGGGGGGGGGGGGGGAAGGGGCAGTGCGGTAGGGGAAGAAACGATAAAAGGGAACCGACTCATCAAACATGACGTCATGAGAGGACAGAACATGGCACGTGGTGGGGTGGTAAAACTGCCAGCCAGGCGCGTCAGGGGGAAAGCCAAGGAAGACGGAGGGAAAGGCGCGAGAGGAGAGCTTGTCCGCGGTGGTATCGCGGACAAAGGCACAAGAGCCCCAGACCCGGAACACCGACGCATCGCCAACCTTCCCCATCCAACGCAGTGTAGGCGAGGTCTCCGGCAAGGAGACACGGGGCCAGAGGTTGAGCTGATGCGCAGCGTACCGGACCGCAAACGGCCACGGAAAATGGGGAGCATCCATGACTAAGCCAATGCTGCGCTCAGTAACCCCATTCTGCTGCGGGGAGGCCGGAAGCGTGAACGACTGGAGGATGCCCTCCCCACGACAAAAGTCCTGTAGGAGGTGGGAGGAGAACTCACCACCTCTGTCAGAGTGCAGATGCAGGACAGGAAGGTCCTGGCGGAACCGCTCGCGGAGCTGGAGACGGACAGCGCGGATCCAAGGGAGAAAGACAGAAGGGACCTCCCCCTTGCTGCACAAGGGGAAGACCGTGGTGTAACACGAGTAGTCGTCAACAACCAGCAGAAAGTATCGCTCGCGGTCCTGTCCATTGACGAGGGCTGGGCCCCACACATCCATATGGAGAGTCAGCAGGGGAGCAGTCGTCGGGGGAAACGAGGAGGAGTGAGGAGCGGCGCGCTGCCGCCCCTCAACGCAAGGAAGGCAGGGTGGCACAGGCGAGGGCGGGAGGGAAGGCAGAGACCTGGGAAGACCAGAGACAAGGAGGCGGGAGTGCATGCCACGGAGGCGTGGCAGGGAGGGATGACCAGGGCGGTGGTGCTAAAGGAGAGTGTGGTGCGTGAGGAGGCGACACGAACAGGGGGCTGCTACCTGACCTGACGCGAACACCTGACCAGACACAGCCACCTGAGCAGGCTCAGTAGTCAGTGTGTACAGGCTCGACTGAGGCCGACGGGTGAACGTGGCCAGGTGACGGCCCATCCGTGCACACGTGCAGATCGACACACGCTGACCCCCAGGAGTGGTGGTAGTGACCATCTCATCTTGGAGGGCAGTGGTACTCATCAAGTTCGTAGAGAACGAGGGGAGGTGAAGACCGGAAAATGAGCCACACGGAACCGCCGGACACGGGAGAATAGTGGAGGAACGTGCAAGAACTGGGCCCCCTGAGGGGTCAGCCAGAGAGACTGCAACAGGTGCAGGGAGTGGTGTGACTGTAGTACTGTCGCAAAATAAGCAGCGGGAAGCACCTGAGTCAAGCGTGAAGGTGTGCAAGGCCTCAGCAGGCGCAGTACCAGAGAGAGCAGGCGCACTAGCACCTAGAGCAGCAGCCTCTATACCTGGGTCGGGCGGCACACACAGGTAACAGTCACCCTCAGCACTAACAGTCAAAGCATACATGGCAGCAAGAATAGCATCATAGTCAAGAGCAAAGATATCCACATCGGTCCTAAGCAGCTCTCGCCAGCGGGGGAGTTCAGCCTCGTCGCCAAACTCTGCGCGCCAGGCGTCGTCAGGACGGCAGAAGCAGCGGTACTGAGTGTGACCAACCTTCCCGCATGCCTGACCAGCCCGATCACATGTGCGAATGACGTACGGGCAGCGAACACTACCCCCAGACGCCCCACGCTGAGCAAACCACTCACGAAGCTGAGGGTCTCATGGGGACGCTGCTGCTGCTGCCTCTGGCCACCACCAGAACCTCCCCTCTGGACCGCTCCACCCCGACCGCCACCACTGCCGCCGCCACCACTCCCACTGCTGCCACCACCGCCGCCACCACTCCCACCGCTACCACCACCGCCGCCACCGACGCCTCAACTCCCACCACCACTTCCACCACCACCACCGCCACCACCACCACCACCACCACCACCGCCACCACCACCGCCTCCACTGCCGCCACCCCCACCACTCTTGCCTCCCTTGCCCTTGCCGCTGTGGCGCCTCCCACTAGGAGCAGAAGCAGCACCAAGGAAGTCAACAGCAGCAGCAGAAGCGACAGAGGGGGCAAGGGGGGAGGGGGAACACCCCTCAAAGAAGGGAGTGCGAGGAGTGCCATGAGAAGGTGTATGATGAGGTCGTCGACTGTGGACAAGGCCGACAGCTCAGGAAAGAGGTAGGGCAGTATGAGTCGGCCTAGAGCAGCAGTGGCAGGGGAGGAGTGCACGCGTTTGGCTAACGGCAGGTGGTTGCGAACGGCGAGGCGAGCAGTAGCGTCACGGGTAAGCCACTGTGAGCGAGTCGCACTGTCAGCTGTCTCGGGGGGGGCGAGAGAGCTCCTAGACGTGTGGTCAAATAAGGAGACACTGTCCTTAGACTCGCTCAGTAGGTACAGCTGTAAGTCGTCTAGCCAGGTCTCAAACTGGATCGGACGGCCCTCAGAATCGAAGGTGAGAACATAGAGGCCATAACGGGCAGAGCAGGGTGGCGCACAACCAGCAGGGCAACACGCAGGCAAGGCAGGGCGGCGCGCAGGAAGCAGGGAGGCACGCAAGTCTGTTCGGGGCGACGCGCGGGCACTAGGGAGGCGCGCAAGCCAGGGCGGGGCGGCGCGCGGCCGGGGAAGGGCGGCGTGCGGCCAGGGCAGGGTGGTGCGCTGCCAGCAGGGCGGCACGCGGACACGGGGGGAAACGGGCAGATCAAGGCGGCGCACGGGCCCTAGGATGATGCGACGGGCAGGGCAGGGCGTGCGCGGGCGGCGCGACGCAGGGCAGGGCGTGCGCGGGGCGGCGCGACGCAGGGCAGGGCGTGCGCGGGGCGGCGCAACGCAGGGAAGGGCAAGGTAGGGCAACGCGACTAGTGGGGCAGCGCGACGGGCAGGGTACTCTTCGGTGGGCCCTAAAAAAACGGTCGTGGAATAGGACCTGCTCTGAAACCATGTCAAAATACTGAACGAGAATGATGGCATTGAGAACAAGATGAATACAAGTACTAGCCCTAATTGGGTTGTACCCTTTAAGGGTTACCCCACTATAGCCTACGCAACATAACCATTATCATGTTTTGACACCTACTGTTACCGTTAGACTGGTACATTAGCCCATCGTTCCATGTCAGCCTGCTCCACCCGTACATCCCCACCACAAGCCAACTGCCACGCAATCGCCCACCGTCAATGACTCGACCTGCATCGGAGCCGATCGTCGACCCCGAAAAAAAACTAAGCCATCGGATTCGCTACCCCGCAGGAATCAGGAGGATCGAGTTCCTCGTTCGCTGGAAGGACCGCATCCCGACCAAATACAGCTAGGTGCCCCTGGCCAACATCGAAAACCACCCTGCCCTGCAAGTGTACCTGAGGAGCTGGGATTTTCGTGGTATACATGCACTCGCGTAGCAGAGAAGGTTTTTTCAGGGGGTGGGTAGTGTAAGGATTTTTCCACCATTCTTTACGGCGTGCTTCAATACCGCGTACAGCAGCAGCCGTTGTTCGCCCGTTACTGCTAACGGGGCTTCGCCAACCTTCGCGTGCATTATTCACCAAACCATGCACTGTTGGCCCGGCCGTGTCAGCCTACGCTTCGGGACTAGCCCGAACCTTGATGCCAGCATCGCACTAGGTAGCTTGCACGCACCGCGTAACCACTTGCATGTTTCGTATAGGTATTTTCCCATGCCTTCGCTCATAATTTGTACTCGGTTGACGCCCGAGTGCAATTTTCTCGATTTAGATCATTGCACCTGTAACAAAAATATAGGGTATATGAAAAACAATTGAAGGACGTTACGAAACACGTTCCAATTCGTTTTGAATGGTTCATCCTGGTGCGCAATGTGGTAAGAGCCGAAAACCGCGCCTAAACGTAATTGACCGTATTCAACCACGTCCGCTTCTGAGCCTTTTTTCGACCACCACCGCAAACTTGAACGCGTTCATCCAAGGGATCACTCTCCGCAACTCCCGCACTTGTCGCAACTCTCTACTCGAGCTGGGTACTGATACTCGAGGCAGAAGCTTGTTTGCGCTGCGGCCAGCCAGAGTTTGAAGCACGCCTTTGTGCATTGGGATTGGCCAACTTAACGCGTTCACTAGCCGCACGCTCGCGCCTCCCGAACGGCTTTCCTCCCGTCATCGCCGCTCCCCTCGTCCACTCATTCGCGTTCCTCCCCCTTGTGCCCACCATGACGACACTCGCCACACCCTTGGTCGACCTTCTCGCTGCCGCAACACCATCATCATCTAGTCCTAAAGTCCACCGAATGCGCGTTTCCGGGCCTCGGCGCAGTGCCGATCCCCTTGAGCTTCCTCTCCTCCCCTCACCCCCTCCCGTCCTCCTCTCCTCCCCCTCACCCCCACCCCTCCTCTCCTCCTATCCTTCTTCCGTGACGAAACTCGTTACATGATCCACGAGCCAATTTCGAGGAATAATAATTCATCATGTGCGATTGACCACTCGCTCTGAATATAAATCGACGCCCGCTCCCGAGGGCTCAATCACATTCTCCCACCGCTCCTCGCTCATTGCGCGCCTTCGTCTCCTCCCTTCTCAGTGGCACTTTCTTAATCGCACCTTTTCAATCGCATCTTCTCAGTCGCACCTTTTCAATCGCATCTTCTCGGTCGCACCTTGAGTGGCATCGTCTCAGTGGCACCTTCTCAGTCGCATCGTCTCAGTGGCAGGTCCCGCCCAATCTCACCTCATCGCGAGTGCCAGCGTCGTCAGTCCCATCCCGGCGGTTCAACTCGGGCCTGAAGCTCGTTGCCATCGCCACGTCATCGTCATCCCACTCTTCCCGTTTCCTCGGGCCGCCTTTGGACGCGCCTCAAAAACCCAAACTTCCCGTTCCCCGCGCCGACTCCTGTCGCCATGATTCGCTACACGCGCCTGTCCGGCCAGTGTGGCCTTGCCGCGGTCGTCGCTGGTGTCGTTGCCATCAGCTTCCTCGCGACCCACGCCAGCGCCGCTGAAGGTGAGTAGGCTGACTGCCACACGCCACTGGCAGAAGGCTTGTGGTGCTGGCGCGTGGATGAGTGCTGGCGTGTGGATGAGTGCTGGCGTGTGGATGAGTGCTGGCGTGTGGATGAGTGCTGGCGTGTGGATGAGTGCTGGCGTGTGGATGAGTGCTGGCGTGTGGATGAGTGCTGGCGTGTGGATGAGTGCTGGCGTGTGGATGAGTGCTGGCGTGTGGATGAGTGCTGGCGTGTGGATGAGTGCTGGCGTGTGGATGAGTGCTGGCGTGTGGATGAGTGCTGGCGTGTGGATGAGTGCTGGCGTGTGGATGAGTGCTGGCGTGTGGATGAGTGCTGGCGTGTGGATGAGTGCTGGCGTGTGGATGAGTGCTGGCGTGTGGATGAGTGCTGGCGTGTGGATGAGTGCTGGCGTGTGGATGAGTGCTGGCGTGTGGATGAGTGCTGGCGTGTGGATGAGTGCTGGCGTGTGGATGAGTGCTGGCGTGTGGATGAGTGCTGGCGTGTGGATGAGTGCTGGCGTGTGGATGAGTGCTGGCGTGTGGATGAGTGCTGGCGTGTGGATGAGTGCTGGCGTGTGGATGAGTGCTGGCGTGTGGATGAGTGCTGGCGTGTGGATGAGTGCTGGCGTGTGGATGAGTGCTGGCGTGTGGATGAGTGCTGGCGTGTGGATGAGTGCTGGCGTGTGGATGAGTGCTGGCGTGTGGATGAGTGCTGGCGTGTGGATGAGTGCTGGCGTGTGGATGAGTGCTGGCGTGTGGATGAGTGCTGGCGTGTGGATGAGTGCTGGCGTGTGGATGAGTGCTGGCGTGTGGATGAGTGCTGGCGTGTGGATGAGTGCTGGCGTTTGGTTCAGCGGCGCACAATCATAGCAGAAACTGACTCGTTTGAACCCCCTTTCCCTACCTTGCCTGTGTGCTGGTGTGTGTGCCTCTTCGCCCCTGCGTGAAACAATCACGATTTCTGTGCAGACCTGTGTGCCAACGAAGACTGTGGAGAAGCTACCTGCACTGTTGATATAGACATGCCCGTGTGCGTGTGCAAGGACGGTTTTGTATTCGACGATGACCACAAGACGTGTGTGGTGGGTGAGTGCTAGTGTGTGGGTGAGTGCTAGTGTGTGGGTGAGTGCTAGTGTGTGGGTGAGTGCTAGTGTGTGGGTGAGTGCTAGTGTGTGGGTGAGTGCTAGTGTGTGGGTGAGTGCTAGTGTGTGGGTGAGTGCTAGTGTGTGGGTGAGTGCTAGTGTGTGGGTGAGTGCTAGTGTGTGGGTGAGTGCTAGTGTGTGGGTGAGTGCTAGTGTGTGGGTGAGTGCTAGTGTGTGGGTGAGTGCTAGTGTGTGGGTGAGTGCTAGTGTGTGGGTGAGTGCTAGTGTGTGGGTGAGTGCTAGTGTGTGGTCGAGTGCGCGCGTGTGGGGGAGTGCACAATCATAAGCAACATTTTCACCCATTTAACCTGCTCTCCCTGCGTCACCATTTAACCTGCTCTCCCTGCGTCACCATTTAACCTGCTCTCCCTGCGTCACCATTTAACCTGCTCTCCCTGCGTCACCATTTAACCTGCTCTCCCTGCGTCACCATTTAACCTGCTCTCCCTGCGTCACCATCGCTTCCTCTGCAGACCCGTGTGCCGGCAGCGGGGTGTGTGGGTTAGAGGGTTCCTGCACCACTCTCGGTCCTAACGATTTTTTCTGCTATTGCGAGAATGGCCTTGCCTTCAACGAGGCTGACAAGACGTGCTATGGTGAGTGCTGCACTCGTGAGCAGTAGCTTCATTCCTTGAGGCATCTCATCGTTTCAGTCTCACTGGTGAGCTTTAGGCACTACATTCCTTGAGGCATCTCATCGTCTCATCGTTACATTCCTTGAGACACTGAGAGGCGCCGCTGAGAGGCAGGGCCGGAAACGTTCACCCCTCCTCACTCCTCCCGTGCCTTCCCCCCTGTCTGGTCTGCCCCCTTGCTCTCCTCTCTCCTGTCCTGCCTCCAAACCGCCATCATCGTCACGCAACCTTCAACGGCCATGATCTGGCATTGCCCGTCTCCTTGAACGGCTGTCAGCTCCCTTGGCGCGGACGACAGTGGCGCTGCAGCAAGGAGGCTCCAGAAGCATTGTGCCCGCCACCTTCTTTTTGCCGCTGCCGGCAGAGCAGGCCAGTGGCAGCAGTGCGTGCGGCAACCTGTATGTCACCATCGAAGGCACCGCCAAGATCACCGTCGTGTGGAATGCCTCCAACCCCACCTCGCCTTCCCGCGACGCCCCTAGCAACGCCATGTGCAAGAGCTTGTCGTTCTACGCCGAGTCGGGCTGCACGAAGAAGCTGGGCTTCACCATTGCGCGTCCTGCAAAGAAGGGCAGTTCCTACCCCGTCACCATCAAGTGAGTGAGCGTTATGCATGCAACTGCATGGTTTGTTCCAATGTGCTTGCATCACATAGTACGGCACTTTTCTATCACCAGAAATTGCTTGACTGTCTCGTAGTTGTAGTGTGAATGGACCCTAGCTCGTCCTAAGCTTTGCTCTTTCCCATCCTTACCTCTCCCGCACTCAGGACTGTCAAAGGAATCCGTTCGCTGTTATCAGTTGGCTGTGAGATCAGTAAGTGCGAGTGCATGCACGTTACGCTGGTGTTATTTTCCCTTCACGTAAAGAGTGTCACGTGCACATTAGAGAAGATCTCCAAGCACGCTAGCTTGTGCTTTGCTCATTCTGATGAAATCAATGAAACGAGAGAGATACCGTAAGATAGAGCGAGACACCCAAGCTCTTCTTTTTTGTGATTCTTTCATTCGACTCACCATGCCTGAAAATCCATTCCCCCCTTCTTCATGTCTGGATTGTTTGTCTCTCTGTGGTGCCCACAACAGCCATGTGTGAGAATGATTGTGGAAGTGCACAGTGCGTTGTGAAGGGGGGCCAGCCACAGTGCCAGTGCCCCGAGGGCCTCGTGTTCAACGCTGCTAAGAAGCGCTGCCTCGACCCGTCTCTTGCTCCTCGTAGGCGACCCTAGCTGGATGGACAGGGGGCAAGGACGTCATATCCGGGAGGTGGGAGGGGGGGGGAGAGAAGGGGGGGTGGGGGGGGGGGGATGGAGCAACGGTGGGAGCAACCGTATGCGGTAGCTTGGAGGCTAGGGAACTACCGTAATCACCCGGACATACCACCCGCCGAAATAGAACACCCCCCGGGTGGCTTGTGCGGGGTGGGTGCTATAGCGGACCTCGTTTCTACTATACCCCCCTTTTGGGCCGATCCGGTATAAGACCCGGGGGGGGGGTGTTATGTACGGAAAAAAATGTTGTTTTTGCCTAAATTTTGCGCAGGGACGTGATCGCACCAGCGAGGCTGCTAAGCCTGTTGCGGGACTCCCGCCTCTGTGACTGCATGAATCCTCGTCGAGCGACGGGGGGTGTGTTTTCGACCAATCAGGGCATGATAGAGGGTCTGTTGGAGCTTGCAATGTGGCAGCTTCCACTCGAGGCTAAGGGCGTGTGCACTAGGGGTTCAAACTTCTGTCTAAGTTCGAAATTTTAGCGAGGTTCTAATCGGTGCAAAGCGGTGAATGTTTGAACTTTGACAAATTTCGCCCACAGTGCACACGCCCTAACGTTATCACCTCATCCTCGGTTTTGCGCACCGAACCAACAATCTACCACCGCAGCAAGCATGTACATTTTGTTCCCAACCGTTTCTGCTTTAAAAAAAATGTACATTATAAAAAGACCCGGGTGTTATGTAGCTTTTTCCCATGACAAGACCCCCCCCCTTTTTTTGATGTAGTTATCATAGCACCCTAGGGTGGTATGTCCGGGTGATTACGGTATTTGCCTGACAGGTTGGTTGGCTGGTTCACTTGTGTATGGTACTAGAAATGGGATTACCAGTGTGTGTGTGCTTCCCTGTACAGTAGAATTTACTTTTACCTCCTTCAGACTGCTGTTTTTTGGGTTGCGAAGCAACCTATTACAATCGTTATGTTCATTTTTTTTTCTTCCACTACGGTATATTAAAAAAATTCTAGTGAATGATAGCTAAGTGACTACCGGTATGTATTTGCCATGGCAATTAGCCAGGGCCTCAGATGTCAGAGAAAAAAGGCTGAATTAGTGTCTAGAGGCTGATTTCACAGACATGTGGAAGAGGTGTTGGCTGAAATTTCAGTTTTTTTTTTTAAGTAGTTGGCTGATTTTTCAGTTTTTTTTTTTAAGGTGTGGCTGAATTCCCAGCGTTTTTTTACAAGTGTAGTCTGATTGATCAGACTTGTAACGCGAGAGTAGGCTGAAATCACGCTTGTACAGATTCGTGCTGGAGCCGCGAGATTCGGCTGTCCAGGTACAACCACCGTCAATCACGCTAATGTGGCCATGTACAGCGCCGGCGCAGCGGGAAAACGAATTTCCCCGTCGCGTCGGTTGCTTCGTTGGCACCGACAGAATGCTGTAAGTGATGGGACTGGTTGTTTAACCAATCACATCCCTTATGGGCCAATCACCCACCACCAGTGCAACACAGCAAAGCACTGCACTCACTCACGACAAGACACCCACCTCAAGTGCGTGCATGGTGCCCCCACGTCGCGCCGCGTTGCAGTTGGGTGGTGAGAAGGAGAGGGCCTTCTTTTGTGGCTCCGACCGTGAACTTGACGGCCTAGAGGAAGCCACGACGGGGCTTGATATGCTCCTGCGCTCGCTAGGCACTGGTCTCCACGCTACCAGGCCTCCTACAACAAAGCCTGCTCCAGTTGAGAGGGTGAACCGCGACCACCCACCGCCATCTACAAGCCCGGACTCCATCCGGAGTGAACCTGCTGCGCCTGCTGCCGTCTCCGACACAGTGGTTGTCGAGTCGCCTGCAACGCGCAACTTCAAACTGAAGCAGGCGACGCTGATCTGGGCAAAGCCTTCTTCCAGCACCGCCGTCGAGCAACCTGTCGTGACCAACTCATCCCCTCATCCATCATTGCTCGTTGACCTTTCGGAAGCAGTTGAAGCAGTCTATGCAGACGCTCTCTTGAAGTACAAAAATAGGTGGTCTGAGAGGTTCCCGTGGCTTGTGCTAACCAAATCTAAATCTGGTTTCCCAGCTTTTAAGTGCAGTGTCTGCACCAAGCATGCCGGACTCAGAGGACGTTGTGGCCAGACAGGGAGCGGGGCCACCGACGTGCAGACGCAGGCGTTTCGCAAGCACGCCGGCACAACGAAACACAAGCTTGCGATGGAGAAGCAGGAGGCCCTGCTGAACGCGGCCTCGAAGCAGCCACGAATCGACCAACATCGAGCCGCCGTCGATGCTGAGAAGAACCGAGTCGTGGCGTTGCTCGACTCCATGCTGTTCGTCAGTTCATGCGATGCGCCCATGGGAACATGGGTAAAGCTGGTGCAGTACCTCGCGCGCAAGGGGGTTCAAGGCTTCCCAAAGAAGGGATATGGCACCTACTACACAACGTGAGTACACCTTCCCCCTGTATTTTGTTGGTGTGTTGTGATGTTTGTACATTAACCTACTTCTAATCTCCTGTTTTCTGTTTCCCTGTGGGCAGGTACGGCTTCGGTGAGCTCACGCAGGCCCTTGCTACCTGGCTACAGACAACTCAGCTAGAGCACATCCTGACAAGCCCTTTCATCGGCATCTGCATCGATGAAAGCACGGATCGGCTCAGGGGGAAGCACATGATCCTGTACGCCTCGTTAATTCGCGACAACGTGCTCGTGACCGAGTTTATGCAGCTAATCACGGTGGAAAAGGCGGACGCTTCATCTCTTCTGAGCGTCCTGCTTTCCCACTTGCAGGCCGTCGGTGTCGACCTGCAGAGGATTTCCGGCATTTGCACCGACGGCGCACGAGTGATGATGGGGACTAAGGCCGGATTGGTTGT